GAGACCTTCCTGCCCCTCGCCAGCCTGGCCACGCTCAACCTGGGCAGCAACAGGCTGGGGGAGCTGGAGCCGGCGTTGCTGAGCGCCCTGCCCCAGCTCCGAGCCCTTCTCCTGCAGGACAACCCCTGGGTGTGCAGCTGTGGCATCCTGCCCCTCTGGCGCTGGCTCAGCCTCAACAGGGAGAAAGTACGAGGTGAGTGCCCGGAGTGTCCCCAAGCCCCCACCTGCTCCAGGCTGGCTGGTCACCCCGGAGGAACTGAGGCAGGACCTCACCTGGCTCCTGAGGGCTTGGGTGGTCAGTGCCCTTAGGGTACAGTGACCTTCCCCAGAACCTGGCCTCAGGCCATAGCAGCTCTGCTTGGGTGGACACATCCTTGGGTCTTGTACCTGGTGCCCACCCTTTGACCTTGGTCACCAGCAGGGATTGCCTGGAGGGGAGGGCTGGGCAATGTCCCAGTGACAGGCACCCAGTGCTGTCCCCAGCAGTGGCACCAGTCCTGTCACGGGGAGAGCAATGGGCACCTGAGGGGGCAAGAGGAGCCTGTCTGTCAGGCTGCTGACCCAGCTAGGATGCAGTGCTTTCAGCCCCTTCCCCAAAGCCTTCATGAACCTGGTTCTGATCCTACATTTCTTTCCCCATGAGCTCCAGTGAAAGACACTTCTGCCAGCAAGCTTTAGCTGCCACTTCTTCCTGATTGATTCCAGCTCGAATGTGGGTCTGCACTTGTGCTGGCTGGGACATTCTGTGACACCTCAAGCCTGGCTGCTGAATGCTCCCTACATTTGTCTCCTGGGAACCAGTCCCTCCACCTTGTCTGCCCTATCTGCCATCCTGCCCCAAACCCATTTTCCTATGCCCATCTCCCTGTCCATCCTACTCTCTGGGGCTCAGGACGTAGATGATCCCTGAACTCCACAGGTCCCTTTCTTTGTACCCTGACATGGGTGATCTTGATCAGCCTGGCCCCTGTCCTCCTGCCCTGGTCCCCTCTGTCCCATACAGAACTGCCATCCCCCTATCCCTGACACCTGCCTTTCCCAGATGCTCAGTGTGCCCACCAGCATTGCTTTTCTCTTCCAGAGAAGAGTTTGCTCCTCTGCAGAGTCCCGGAGCAGCTGAACCAGTACCCGATCATGGCCTTTGGGGATGAGTCCTTCAGGCAATGCCAGGAGACCTCACTGTCCTCTGAACAGTACATCACCTTCTTCATCATTGGACCATTCTCCTTCATTGCCAGCATCTTCTTCTGCACCTTCATGGGCTCGGTCGTGGTGTTTTACCACAGCCTGCGCAGGGGGTCCCACTGCTGGAGGAGACCCCGCATCTGCAGGGTGCACTGAGGCAGGATGGCCAGGCTTTAGCCCTGAGCAGGCTGTGGTCCACACCCTTCTCCAGCTGGCTGCACCCACCTGTTGCAAACATGTCCCAGCAGACCAGTGAGTGGAAGATCTGTCCCTGGAACTGCTTTGGTTTTTCTCAGAGTCCCCAGGACAATTCCAAGCTCCCTCTGCCCCGGTGCTGGGAGAGCAGCCTGCAGCTCAGCACCCTGCGGGGCATGGGCTGACTGCAGATGTTCTCAGTGTTTTGGGAGCTTCCCCAGACCACCCTCAGACCCTTCCTGGGGTTGTCCAGATGATCCTTCTCCCCCTGTCCTGCCCCTTGTGGTGCGCAGTGGCCTCAGTGTGCTTTTCAGGATGCACCACGTGCCTCACTGCGCCTCGGGGTGCAGCCTGGGAGCCCCGTGCACATCTCAGAACACTTATATTCCTCTAGGCACCCCAGGAGTCACCATTTGCCTTTTGGTGCAGCCCAGGAGCCTCTGTGTGCCTTTCAGTTTGCTGTTAATCCCTCCTTGGGTCTTTTGGTGCCCCCAGCACACTCTGTCTGCCTTCAATGACCCCATCAGTCTCAGGGTACCTCTCCATGCCTTCCAAACTCCTTGGCTTGGCTTTTCATGCACCCAAGTGCCATTTGTTTGGCTTCTGTGTCCTGACAGGCATTAGTTTGCCTTTTGGTGAACTGCAGAGCTCCCCATGTGCCTTTTGGTGCACCTGAAAATCTCTGTGTGTTTTTGGAGCATTCCAGAGCCTTCATGAGGCTTTCAGACTACCCCAGAGCCCTCATGTGCTGGCCAAGGACAGGGCTGGTTTCAAAACATTTCTTTTGATAGGTTTTTTTCATTGAGTCAGGAATGCTGGAGCTGAGAAGGCTCAACCAACAGCCAAGATCTAGAGTAAGACTGAAGGTTACAGTGAGGGTTGGGAAGAGCCTTGAGCTTCCACTGATATGGTTCAGCAGAGGAACTGCCAAAGGATGGGTGAGGCTTGCAGTAGTTCCTCCCCCAATAGCTTTCCCTAGGCTAAAGCAGGCCAAGGTAGCTCAGTGATGGGAGTGGGGGCAAACAAGCCCATGTGGGTTTACAGCACAGAGATGCAGCCCTTAATGCTGCCTCACCTCCCATCACCCACAAAACAGGGCTGGGGCTGCCCCTGCACCTCCCTGCCCTGCCACCTCTTGCCCTTCCCTGTGGAAATGCTTCTGGACATGCTTATTGTTCGTACTGGGAGATGGCCTGGAAGGATCTGGAGCTGTGCTCCAGAGGAAAGCACAAGCTGGGTTACAAAAACAATCTTTCAAGGAGAAGAAACAGCCCTTTTTGCCTGATCTCGTACCGACTGCAAGATGGTCAGAGCCACAGTGAGATGGCTGTGACCACCAGCTCCCCTTGTTCACTCGATCTCAGCAGGAGCTGTGGACCAGCCAGGGATGTGGCAGGTCAGTGCATCCCTCAGCAAACTCTTGGCAAGGGTTCAGTAAATCACACAGAGAATAAACCAAATGTCACCTCAGCTGTGGCTTGCTCCCATTTTTATTTTCAAGAGAGAAACCAACCCAGTGAGCTGCCACAGTGCCAGATTCCTACTTCCTTCTCTGTCGTGGGGTGTGGGGGCTGCAGGGAGCAGCTCCTCCACTGCCACCAGCCCTGCACCTGGGAGCTCTGCAGGACCTCTGCCAGGATCATCCTCTTACCTGTCCCAGGAGCAATCCCAGTTCTCCCAGATCCTCTCTAGTGACAGCATTCAATCCTTCCCAAGTAGGCTTGGGTTTCCCATTTGGAACTAAGATCTCACTTGTCATCCTGCTCGGCCCCCAGAGCCCTGCTCCTCCTCCCAGACCACCCTGAGGCTGAGCCCACCATGAAGGCTGGGCTGGTGGTCTCGGCACATGGGGACTATTCTGTCAGTGGGTGATGTTGCTTCGGTTCAGCCCAAGGGACCTGCCTTTCTGTTTTGCAAATCCCTCAGTGGAGCCTCCCTATGGATGGGCTGATGTGTGAGGACTCCCCCAGACGCTTCACCCCTGTGGTCCATCCTCTGTTCCCAAAGGCTGGCCCCACTGGCAGTGCCCCACACTAGCTCCCAGGAGATGGGAAGCCCAGCAGTGGCAGTGGACCATTTTCCCTGGAATGAAGGTGGGCCAGAACCAGCTGCCATGCTGCTGGTGTTTGGACAGCTCCGGACTGTCCCCATCCCCTCACTGCAAGGCCTGTCCCCCTCCTGTGGCTGTTCAGGCTGTCTATCAGTTGAGTATCCCAAAATGAGGCCAGTCCTTCCCTCATCTCCTCTGCAGCTCCTGGCCTTTCTCCCTGCTGGTTTCTCCAACCCTTCCCGTCCCTCCACCCTCCACTGTTTGCAGACCCTGCAGTGGGGCTGGGTGAGGTTCTGACTCAGCACAGGGCTCCCTGCCAGCTTTGCCAGAAGCCAGAGACAGAAAGAGGCACACGGCATCAGAATAAACCACTTCATGATCCAGTCTAGACTTTACTGAGCTCTTGCAAAAACTCGGTATTAATGTTACATTGACGTATAAAGTAGAATGGGTTCAATTTCTCAGCTGGAGCTAGATGAACTAGATGGAGCCACAGCAGTCAGTGGGACGATGCTCACAGACCTCAGCTGCCGTTTGAAAATCCTGCCTGTGGGGCTGCTTGCCCCTGGGGGAAGCCCTGTCTGCTTGGCCTGGGCAGGGAGAAGGCAGTTCATGCCACTGGGGCTTGGTACCACATTGCAGGTGGGTTTTCCATGTTTGCAGGAGACGGGATATGATGCTGCCTGTGCATGTGCAGTAGCTGCTCATCACCAGCCTGGCTGGTGCCAGATGCTTCCCCCAGTGCTGGTGTCTCTGCACCCACTCCCAGAGCCCACAGTGAGGGTGCTCAGAGGTGCTGGTACATGGGGGTAGGCTTGAGGGGAGGAAGGTGCAGGAAGGAATGGCATCAGCCTGGCTTGTTTGGTTTCCTTCTCCTGAACTGCGATCTGGTTTCCATGTGTCCAGGTTCAGGCAGATGCAGCGCCATGAGTTGAGGCTTCAAGGCTGCCATGGGCGCTACTGGCAAGCTGGAACTACAGGTGAGGGTGGCAGGGAAGCTGGCAGTGCCGGCCGTGTGCCCCGACACTGCAGGCAGCAAGCCACGACCAGCCAGCAGCGTCTCTCCTTGCATTGCTGGTGCTGAGGCAGTGTGGAGCTTGGGTAAAGGTCAGTGCAACCATCCAGAGCCATTCCTCATGGAGAATTCCTGGCTAGGAGAGCCACTAGGTGAGTGCTACATGCTGGCCATGGCCAGGTCCTGGGGGTGTCTTCTGTGCAGGAGAGGTGGGGAGCTGGGACCTTGGCTGGCAGCACGCTGTGGGCTCCAGGGTACCACAATTAGCACAGGAGCATGGGTTGCAGGGTGGGAGTGCTCCTGCTGCAAACAGACCATGAACAGGAGCCAAGTCACAGCCCGGAGCTGATGGGAGGGAGGAGCAGGGGGTCATACCCTGCGGGGAGCAGAGCACACATCTTCCAGCCCCTGTGGCAGACGTGGGGGTTACTTGGCACAACAGGAACATGTGCCCAACCTGCTGAACCACACCGGCTGCTCCAGCTACTCAGGACCAGCACGTTGCACTGGAGCCCTCCAGGTGGTGGGAAACATGGAGCACACGTTTGAGGGGCCGTGTGTACTGAGAAGCCTGCAGCCTGCACAGTGGAGCACGTGTTTGTGGTCTGGCACCAGATGTTCCCCACTACCATGGGAGAGCAGGCACCATGTGCCTTCTGCAGTCCTTTCCCCTTGCATGGAGCCAGTCAGTGGCAATCCTGATTATTGTGACTCTGCTTGGAAGCAATATTCTCTGTACAGTGGAGTCCAAACCGTGTCCTGGTTCTGCTGTGCGTTCTGGGGCACGAGCATGGCAGCAGGCCTGGGAAGGGAGGGAGATATACAATGGAGTCACTGTGTATGGATGAAGGATGCTTTCCTCCCATCTCACCCGGAAGAACCCATCAGTGTCCCTTGAAAGGCAGTCCTGGCTATGCCTTCCTACTGTGTTGGGCAAGGACTGATGGCCCTCAGGGAGAAGGTCACACCACAGTGCTGACTGAGGGGTCGGAGAGGTTGAGCTGGCCAGTGATGTCGGTGGGGTGATACTGCTGCAACACACAAATAGACAGACAAGGAGAAAGAAGTGTTAGGCAGTTCTGGTACTTGTCCCCACCGGTACTTATATCCCATGTGTCCCTACGGGATATCTCTTGGGGGTGATGCAACGCCCCGAGAGCTGCTGCTGGCTGAGGTCCCCTTCCCAATGCAATTGTGCAGAGGTCGTTGCAGACACTCTCCAAGCACCCTAGAGCTGGGCAGAGGGGACACCCAGAAGCGTGGCGCAGCTTCTGCGGAGCGTGGCTGCCACGTTGCCCTCTGAGCGAGCCCCTCTCCACTCTGGGAGGGCTACAAAACAAAGCCTGTGACTCATCAGCCCAGCCCACAGTTGAACCTGTGTTTGGAGGGTCTGGCTGGGTTTTGGCACCTTTCTGATGCCAGATCAAGCTGTGCTTTGAGGCCAGGGCGTTTCACCTCCTTGCTTGAATGACTCAGCTGTGACTATCCTTTCATGCAGGTGAGATGTGTGGTGTAGTTGGCTTGTGATAAAGTGTGGCATTGATTGCTAATGTGAAAATACAGCCTGTGGTGGGGATGTGGCCTGGATTTGGTGTTCTGTGCTCCTTGTGGATGGGGGGGCTCAGCAAACACTCCCTGAGAGAGACCTCCCCCACTGCAGTCCCGTTAGCAAGCAAGGGGCAAGAAAGAAATATCCACCAATGGGCAAGAAAAAAAAGTCCTTCCTCCCTGGGCAGGAATTTACAACTGGACATTTATTTCTTCCCTTCCTCCTTTTGTACTCCCTTCCTCTCCCAGTTCCACTCTTCTAACTCCAAAGCCTGGACTGGTAGCCCTATCCAGCCCTGCTGTGAGAGTAGGTGGCAGGAGCATCCTGTGCTGCTGTCTGGGATCCTCAACCGGTGCCAGGGCAGGAAAGGGTCTCAGTGGGTCTCATGTGCTGCAGTGTAGGCCCTCTCCAGTGACATTTTCCCAGCCCTTGCACCACCCTGCCCAGGAGGGCTGACGTTTTGAGGGGCTTAGGGGGGCTCCTCAGAGATGGGACGTGACCTGCCCCGCATTGGTCGGTGCTGTCTCCGGTGGCCTCTGCGGTGCTGCTGGCAGCTCTGGCACTGTGGCTACCCTGTGTGCTCTATGCCCTACCTCCTGCCACGGGGAAGTCTGGGAGTCCCCCCGTGTGGGGCTGCCCAATCCAGCCTTGTGCTTTACCAGGACCTCTTGGTGGGGAGCAGCTGGGCCGGGGCCAGGAGCAGTGTGCTCCCATCTCTCCGGTGCACATGCTGGGAATGAACTGACACCCAGGGAGCATCTCACAGGATCATCCTGTCACCTAGGGGACTAGCTAATATTCCCATGGAGCCTCTGGGAATTCCTCACCGCGGCCTTGCTTCACTAAGGGGCAACACCTCGGCCGTCACCTGTTGGCATGGAGAATGGCCGGGGCCATCCTGACACCGCTCTGCCGCCCTGGGGGGAGCTTTTTGTGGCTGTTCATCAGCCCAACAAAAAACACCCCTCTCCCAAAAATGGGTGCAGCCACCCCCTCCTTGTGAAAAATTTGAACTGCAGGCTAAATGCACCGTTCCCATAGCAAAACTGCTGGGAGGTGTGTGCTCATGGGATGGGGCTTGACTCCCGCAGGGAGGAGAGGCGACTGGGAAAGGGGAGAGGCCGGGTGAGTCACTGGTGGAGAAGAAGGAGGAACTTGAGATACAAAAATGAATGGGTAGAAGAAAGGTCCTTTGTTGAATATCCTGCCTGATGCAAGCAGGGTGGAAAAGCGTTGTGTGCATGTGTGAGTCGTGTGCCTGGGTGCACGTGTACGTGTGGTGTCTGTGGTGGAAGGCTTGGAGGTCTAGCAGGGCAGGCTGGGGCCTTCTGACCTCTCTGCACAGCTCTGGGGGTGGGCAACGCTAAAATAACCAAGTGAAATGGGGAATCTGGCCAGAAAAATTAAAATACAAGAACATGGCTTTTGATTTGAAAGCATATCTCCTCCAATCACAGAGTTGTCACAGGGTAACATTCTCATTTACTGTTTTTTTTTGTTCATGCATGCAATTTTTAATAATAAAAATTAAAATGAAAAGAAAAAAAGAAAAGCAAAAAAAACCAAGAAAACGGTCATATCAAAATTATGTTAAAGTAGGACTAATGCTAGAAGCACATATCAGTAATTTAGGGTAAATTATGTTACAGGGATGGTGCAATAATCCCCAAACCAAACATCATAAAGCCAAGAAATTAATCAATATTAACCGTAGAAGAGACTCAAACATGTTAAGGTATGGAAGTGAAGTGAAGGCACCAAAAACTTTAAATGACAACCAGGAAGAAAATATAGACAAGAACTTAATGTCTTTAAAAATGACTTCAACCTAACTGGGCTCATATGGTAGTCCCTGGCTAGTGGAAGAGTTTTCTGGAAGAATTTTGGTTTGTCGTTGTTTGTTTTTTTTTTTTTCAATTAAAAATTAGGATTCCAGCTAAATGCAATCTTGCTGTAGAAAATATCAACTTCCCTTTAAAAAAAAAAAAAAAGTTGTCTTTGACCTACTTTTGGTTCTTTTGGACCAAAAAAAACTAGGCTCTTTTTTTCAGCCAACAAGCATTTGGCTTTGGGACAGCTGATCCTTCACTGAGAAGGTGACCTTTTCCATGAAGCCCCTCGGCTCTCGACCAGCTCTGGCACCATCCCCACGGCTGCAGGGCAGCACCGCCGGCAGCGCCGCGCCCTTGGCGGTGACGTGGGACGTGTGTCGTGCCGTGCCTGGGGGTGCCCACGGGCTGGCAATGTGTCTCTGCGGGGGCTGCCGATGGCTGGGGGGGCGGCTAAGGGACCTGTGCACCTCGTTACGTGTCTGTAGGAAATGTGCCGGCTCGGAGGGTGTCTGTGTGGTTTATGCGTCTCACATGGCGTCTGTGGGGTTGCAGTATCGTGGGTGGCTGCGATGGATGGCAGTACGTCAGCTCTGCGAGTGCTATTCGAGTTGCAGGAGCTGCCTATGGGGAACACATGCATCTCCTCCTGGGGCGGTGGGGATGATGTGCCGCGGAGAGGCTGTGCAGCTCGGGTGATGGTGGGCGCTAGGACGTTCAGAGTGGGGTGGTAGCTTCCCAGGGCTGTCTTGGCTCCATGGTGCCAGCCTGTCTCTCTGGCACTCCTGAGGGACCATTCTGCAGGGCTGCAGAGCAGAATCCATTTTTAAAACTCCCGACAACGAAAAGGAAAGAAGCAAGGCCACCAGGTCTGCGTCTTTCGCTTGCTAGCCAGGAGAGCCTGTGGGGCTGGGGTCAGCCTGGCCTTCCAGCCCCATGGGCTCTCCAGCCTCGCCCATCTAAGACCTGGTGTGGGCCTGTGGCTCTGATGAACATCATGAAACAGAGCACCTCGCTGCTTTCTCGTCTTTACAAGGACCCCAGGCAACGTGCCCCAGCATGCTACGTACTCATGGGGCCTTCCACAGCAGGAGGGCATTGGGGTCTCTGGGCCAGGGCTGCTGCACAGAAGTGGAGGGCACCAAGCGCAGGCTGTGACATGAGCTGGTGGCAGCACCCTCCCGCTGGTCGCTCATCCCGCAGAGCAACCAGCAAGTCTGCCCAACATCCCCACAAAGCTTGCTCCACCGTGGACCTCCTGCAATAGCCGGACCTCAGAGCTGCTAGACTCCAAGTTGGCCACGTTGGCTTGGATGTTGACCCCAGTAGCTTTTTCTTGACCCAGCTAGCCCAGTTCCCTGGGGAACGTGTCCTGGGACCCTGGCCACGTCACCCCATGGCAGGCAGAGGACTGTGACAGGCTTCTGGGCAGTGGGGAACAGTTGACCATAACTGCCTTGCAGATGCAGCTGCCCCCAAAGTGGTGACCATCTTCTGGGATGAGTGGGGTCATCTCCCTCCGCAACTGGCCTGTGAGCAATGCGCCAGGAAGAGCATGGACAGGACCCAAAGCACAAGGAGCCTCAGGCTGTGCTGATCCCCACCAGGCGTGGGAAGGGGGAGAACAGTTCCACAGCTCACCCATAGGACCTCTGGTGCAGGTGAGCCCTGGATCTGGTCAACTCAGGGCATTGGGTGCTCCTGCTGTGGGGCAGAGAGGGCTGTGGGCTGCTGTGGTGTAGGGTGGATGCCACACTGTGGAACAGGATCAGGCCCAGGATGCTTCCCTGAAGAAGGAGTGGTATGGGAGGTACCAGGGATGCCACACGCCAGGTGCCCCATTGTTCTTGGGTTCTGCTCCTCTCAATGAGCCCACCAATGGAACTGGTCCCCCCAGGTGCCGAGGGCACCATCAGGCTTCTGCTTTCCCAGGGCCGGATCCCTTGGTTTCCTAATCATGGAGTAGTTCAAACACATCAAAACACGGGAATCTACCCGGGGCATGCAGATATTTCTGCAATTTTTTCTCCCTTTTTTTCTCCATGCATCCCACTTCTCTTCCTCATCCTCACTCTTCCCATCTTCTCTCCCCTGCACCACCCACCCCATCTCTGTCTTCTCTCCCCTGGTTGTGATTCAGGCCACCAAGACACAACTTCTGACCTCCCTGCAGAGCTGCTCAGGGGGTGCAGCAGTGGGAAGAGGGCATCCCAGATATGGGAGCATCACTTGGACAAGGTGCCACCTGGGGAGCATGGAGGCAATGCAGGAGGGGACAGGGATGCCTGTCTTCCCCATGGGGACAGAGGATGGGTGGGAAGAATGTGAGTCCCCCCTCATGACTTCCAGGCTTTGAGGTGACAGTGAGAGGAGCACTTTGTGTGAGGTGGTGGCAGTTGAGCCCGGCCGAGGGCTCAGCTGTCCCCAGGGACGCGTCCCAGGGGTGCTCCAGGAGTTTCTTGGCACAGAGCCTGCGCTGGTGTCAAAGGCAGCCTCCTCCATTCCGCACACAGAGCCGTGGCCCCGAGACCCCCTGCGGTATCACATGCTGCTCCCCGGGGCGCCCCAAGCCTGCGGCTGGGGACGGGCCACCCCATCATGGGGGGCCACATCTCCCCGCCCTGCCACCGTCCCCCCGTCCCCGCCGCGCCTCGGGCAGCCTGGCGGGGAGCCTGCTCTGGGCAACCCTGGGCAGAAACCCGCCGGTCGCCCCGGGGAGGTGGTTTTGGCCAGCCCATCGCGCCAGGAGGTCGGGCAGCAACACGCAGCGGGCGCTGCCACACGAGACAACAGAGTAGCCACAGTGCAGAGTGTCATACAACAGACGGCGACATGCAGAGGGACACGGCTCAGTCCGACAGACCAACAGCCCAACCTGACGCTGAAGTGTCTGAAGCTCCAGCATGAGCAGACACATTTGCACATTTGGAAACAGCTGGCTTTAGAGGCAGCAATTCGGAAATTTTCTCTGGTTACATGACAGCAGTGGAAAGCACAAGTTTGAACCAAGGCTGGGTCTTTAACAACCTCCACTTTCAAGCCTTTGTATCTCTTTTCTAGAGCTGCATTGCTGCTGACAATAACCAGAGACAGCTGTCACTCCTGTGCCCAGGACTACATCCCGAATGCTAATCGTCACAAACAAAAATCACATGTAGAGAATGTGACACGCATGGCTCTCAGTGAGGTGACACGGTGCCCAAATTAAACTGGAGTGATTGTTTTTAGGCATACAATGACAAACAGGTACAGAAACACTCAGGAACAGAAAAAAAAAAAGGAAAAAGAAATGTCATCCATTTCAAGAGGTCAGCACCGGTAAGGTGAGCGAAGCACAGAGAGGAACATCAGAAATCATCCAGGCAGAAAGAAAACAAAAAAACAAAACAAAAACTCAGTTGCATCTCCCAACTCATCACAGGACTCCAAGCCACCTCCTGCCTGCCCTCCAGGATCCCAGCATCCTTTCAGGAACACGGGATGACTGACTCACTGACTGACTGACTGACTGGTGACGAACATGAGCTATGCATGTACACTGGCAGCTTCGGGATGGGTGTGTGGCAGTCAATGGGATGGCAGAAGAGAGAAAGAGAGAGAAAGAGAGAGGGCAGAATTGTTCTTCTTCCTCTTACCGTATCCTTGGAGGACCTACGTCTCTTGAAGCTGGAGGCCAGGGTGGAGGTGATGGACCTAAAAGTGGCTTTCTTTTTAGGGTCAGGTTCTGCTCTACCACTTTTTCTATCCTAAAATGAATATGTATAAGTAATTAGATCTCTAGTGTGTTGTTGGAAACTCTAAATCTATTTGAATACTGCCCCATGTCATGGCTTTCATTTAGGTGAGAAAGCTACTGGAGGTGTTCTGTCACTCCCAGTCCTCCGAGGGCCTCCGTGACCCATGGCTACGGCACAGCCACCACACTGATACAGCTGCCAGGGGCCGGCCTCACATCTGGAGTGCTGGAAACCCCTCTGGGGAGTATCCCTGCTCTCCTGGGTGTCTGTGGCCAGGCCGGCACAGCTGACCTCGCTTCCTGGGGATGCTCTGCCTGGCGCCCTGCCCCTCGCTTCCACCGCTAGCCTGGCTGGACAGAGATGTGAGACGCTGCACCTACCACTAAAAAAAAAAATTGCTCAGGGCCTTTTCTGAGGCTGAATCCTAGTGCCAGAAGAGAGAGAGAGGACTGCATTGAAAGAGAAGTCATTGTATGAATATTCTGTAAAAAAAAAAGTGTTCAAAAATTCAAATGACGCAGTTGTGCAAAGCCGAACGTGGTTGCTGGTGGTGGTTTGGTGGTTGTTTTTTTTTTTCCAAAGTAAAACAGGCTAAAAAAAAAGAAAAAAAAAAAAAGAAACTGGAAGAAAAAGAAAATTAAAAAAAAAAGATAAGGAAAAGAAAGGGAGGAGGCAAAGCGTTAGTGCTATGATGTCGTCGGGGTCGGGATGAACTCAAAGAGAAACAGAACTGAAAAATGTAGGCGTTGGAGTTAGCGAGTCGGACCTGGTTGGCGCAGGCTGGGAGCACCAGCCGCCATGGTGCGGGGGCAGCGAGCCGAGGGGACCGGCCGCGCTCGGCGGCGGGCGCTGACAACGATTCCTCCCCAATTGCTTTCGTGCCAATGAGTGTGACCTTTCCGACGGGGGACGGAGTGACCAGGTCTGGCTCTGCTACCGCACGGGGGTAACCAAAATGTATCCCGCTGGTGCGTAGAGCATGCTCGGGGATACATTTGCTCCTCCTTCTCAGTTCTCTCTTTTGCGGACATGCACAAACGGAAAGGAAAGCAAGATGAATGGAATGAAATGTCTTTTTCTTCCATGGCATCTCAGGAAATAGCCATGGCAAAACTGTGATCCCAAAAAACATTATTTTTGTTTGTTTTTTTTAACAAATAAATCTTTCCACTTGCCTACCTTCTAGCAATGTACCAGATACTAGTGCTCTGACGTTTCCTCCTGTGGAAAAGTCTTACAATGTCAAACGGCTCTGTACCATGAGGCTGTTTACCCCCACAGGGCAGCATGCTTTGCTCACAGTCCCACAGACTCTGCCCAAGGACCCAGTGCAGTATTTTCTAGAAGGTTGGCAAGTGAAAAATGGCAGTGCGACTAGTGTGCTCTGTCCCAGCAGCCTTAACCCCCTCGGTGCTGCTGCTTTTTGGAAGCAAAGGAAAAAAAAAGATAAAAAAGGAAAAAAAAAGTTGAGAAATGGCTTTTCCGAGACTCTTATCAGCGAACTGAACTCAGTGAGCTCTCAGGATACAGCAGCCCAGCCTCGTGCTCCCCTTGCTGCTCTCAGGCAGGTCACTTCCACCCGGGCAGCCCCCCCCAAAACACCCCAGCCAGCGCTGCTCCCCCAGGGCCACCGCTCCGGGCTTCTTTCGGGCTCCCCGAGCCTCGTTCTCTCTCTTTCCTTTGCTGGCTCTGCTCCGAGCGCAGGCTCCTTTAGTTGCCTAAAGGATCTCTTGCTCTTTGAACGCTGGTGCTTCCCCAAGGGAAAAAACCAGCCCGGGCAATTCAGACAGAGCCTCCAGCTGCTCTAAACTGGGGTTCAAGGGCACTGTGGGGCTCAGCCCCAAAAGCAGCAGGGTAAGGGAAGTGTGAGGCTGGTGGCCCACAGACATGTCCATGGCTCAGTGTCACTGCCAGACAGCTCTGACACTCCTGGGCTTCCCTGCCTGAGTGGCACAGAGGGGTTCCAGGGACAGGAGAAGTCGGGAAGAACAATGGGAGAGGCCCGAGGGAGCCTTGGCACTGACAGGGACTGGCATTGCTGGCTCCCGTGTGGGGAAATGTCCTTGTCTCCAAAGGACAAGAGCACGCACCACCTCATTTTGGAGTCGGTCCTGGGTGTGACAAGGGCTACCGCGCTGTTGGGGAGCAAGCAGGGAAGGGTAGGTGATGGAAATTATCCCTGGAGCATTTCTCCATCTGAGCACTGGCCAGGGATGCTCAGTGGCAGCGGATTGACCTCCCCCCATCTGCTGGTGAGCATGGCCAGAGCTGGACAGCAGGGCAGATACCTGCAAAGGGAGCCACACTGGCACTGCCTGCTCGGCTGGAGCCAAGGCTCCAGCACATGTTCCTCAGCAGAGCAAAGTCCCCATCCCAAGCTCCACTGGGGGCATTTGGGCCCCACTATCTGTCCCAGTTGGAGCTGTGCACAACACCTCCTGGGAGAGACGGCATGGGCCACGGGCAGCTCCCAGGGACGAGGCACTACAGCCTGCTGGGCACCCAGTAATGCCCAGCTGGAGTTTCTGGGGTGTGGGGTGGGGGACAGAGGGCCCCATGCTAATCCACAGCTCTGCATTCACTGATTTTGGTGAAGGAATGGAAAACGCACCTGGTGGAGATTTGCTCTAAAAACGGTTTGTCCTACCTGCAGGTTTTTCCTCCACACATTAACGGCCGCAAACGCCAGCTGCATCTGCTTCCTCCGCGCGTCCTTATGCCTTTTGTAAGCTATTTCTATGAATATTAAAAATATCCCGGCAACAATACCTCCAGCCACCAGCATAAACACACCTGAAATAAGCAGGAAAGTTACAGGGGGCAATAGAAATTGCAACATGACACTTCATTTCTTCTGTATCACGCCCAGCAACAGGAGCATTTGCCAACCCAGGGTCCCCCCACCATCCCCCCTAGTCCTGGAGGGCCGGGGAGGGGAACACAGCAGGTGCTACAGGGTGGGCACTGCAGTGGTGGGCAGAGAGGTGGATACCTATGCAAGCTCTGGTTGGGCAGAGCACTGTGCTGCACCAGTGCTGCACGCTGGCTGCTGCACCAAGCCCCAGGGCAGCCCCCCACATGGGACTGTGGGGTCACTTGCACCAAAACCCGGCTCTGGTACTTCGGTTTGTCTTATTGAGTAATACAGCCATGCACAGAGTGCTGTCCTCAGACACCTGCAGCCCTCGGGGCTTTGGAGTGGTGTCTTGAGGAGACAGAGCAAAACGCCCCCTCTGCCCTGGTTGGTGGTGCTGGCGAGGACGGGGTCCCATCAGACACCCCTCATCCCTCATCACTGCACTGGCTGGGTGTAGGACCAGCAGCACCACATTGCTGCAAAGGACACCCTGTCTGGGGATTCTCACAGCCTTTGCAAAGGGGGACCAAGATAAAAACCCCTCTGTATCCATTATCCTCATCCTGCCCCTGCCCAGGGCTCTCAGGGCTGGGGGGCTATCTCTCGCCTCCAGCCCCCTCTTGTAGCAGGGTCCCCTCTTACCCTTCCCAAGGCACTGCTCCCCTCTCTCTGCCTTGGGATAGCTCTGATTCCACAGTGACAGCCACAGTTCGGCCAGAGCAGAGGGAGGGGAGCAGTGCTCACAGCAGGGCAGCCCCACTGGTGAGAAGGGCACCCAGGGAATGTGGGGTAAGCTTTGTGGAACTGTTTCAAATACGGTGGAGTTGGAGCCCACCACAGTAGCCTCCCAGTAGTAGGGAAGCACAGACCCAGAAGAAGCAGAGATTTGGCCCAAGAGAAAACCCTGGAGAGGAGAGTGTCTTGAGTGAAAGCAGGCTACCCAGCAAGGGGGAAGAAAGAGGTTTGCAGAACAAACCTGCCATATTCTCAAAGGTGAGTGTTGCTGGGGCATTGCTACGGGAATCACACTCTTGATACCTCACCCAAGTCTTGTCCAAGTCCTCCATGAAGCCGTTCTCGTGGGACCTGGAAGCACAAGGAGACAGGACAGAGTAGTCACTGGGAACCAGCAACAGGCAGCTGGGGCACACGTTGTGCTTTTGTGCCCCCTGAATTAGGAATCTGCACTTGCCTGCAGCCCACAAACAATAGGGACCAAGGACGTGCTGGCTGCGTGTGAGCGCACACACGTGTGATCTTTACATGGAGAGTGTGTGTATGGCCTGTCTGCAGGGGCTGCCAGTACTGCATGTGCTCACACCCCCCCTGCACACAACTGGTGCACAGGGCAGTGGGTGCGAGCAGGACCCACAGCTTCCTAGTGCCAGTGCCCCTGGGGTAGCTGTGGGGCAGCCAGCTCTTGCCAAAAGAGCCACGTGTAAGCCACATGTAAGGTGTGTTCCCATGGAAAGGATGGAGCTGGCAGGTGTAGGCAGTGCTCAGAGAGCATTTAGAGAGAGGCTGAAGGGAGTGGACATGAACCATGTCTCCCAGTTCCCTTCTGCATGTTCCCCCCACCTGCCAGGGCCACCTGGGAGCTCAGGTAACACTGACCCCAATCCTTTCTGGGGATGCCTAGAACCCTCTAGGTCATGGCACTGCTGCCTGGCAGCTCCCCAAGGTGCACGGTGAGGGCTGGGACTCCCCAGCAGCTTGGTGTCACAGCTTGGTGTCACAGCCTGGGAGGAAACAAACTGAACTGTGTCCCCACAGTGCCTGTTTCTACCTGAATAGCTTGTGGGGATGAAGATGGGGCACAGAGCACACATCTCACCACAGGCCCCCTGCACTTTCCTCCCTGTTGTTCTTGGTACATCCCCACTACCTTCCTGGGCCACCTCTAGCCTTGGGCTTCCCCATCCTCTCCCAGGAGGGCACTGAGGACCCCTGTGGCCTCTTCAGGCTTCTTACATTGTTTACCCAAATCCCATCTGCCACCCATCCCCATGCTAAGATCACCCCACAGATGGGGTACCATGGCTCCCTATATTGCCCTGTGTCTTGGTCCTGCCTGTGTCTTCCACATCCTGCCCCTTCTCTTTCTCAGGTCTTTCATCTCTACATGTTGGGCAGGACTGTGGTGGCTCCTGATCCTGTCTCTCCTAAAAAGAATCTCACGTGTCTGTCTCTCTCCACCTGCTGCTTCCCAGCTGCCTGTTCCTCCATTGCCACATTCCTCTGTCTCACACAAGTGTGGCATTTCCGAAGTAACACAAGGCAATCCCCTTTTACCCATAATACCAGCTTGACTTGTGACACCCTGCACTGCAGGCTGGTGTAAAAGCCCTAATTGGACTCAGCAGGGGTCCTGACATATCCCTGCCTAACAGGAATAGTCAGAGTTGAAAGAAAAACCCCTGGCAGACCAAGCCAGGGCAGTGCCATGCTGTCAGGTTGGCTGAGCCCACAAGGAGAAGTGGGGAGATGGCAGCACCCACACCCTGCTCACCGGGACCTGGTGCCGGGTGGCCCCAGCTTTCTCTGCCAGCTTTCCCTACATTCCTGGACAAGCCTGGCTCCTGATCCCTGCCCTGCTCTGCTCTGCCTTCCCACCACCTCCCTGCTGCTTCCCCAGCCCTGCAAGCTGGAGCTGAGAGTGTGGGTGCCCATTCTGGTCGTTCCATGTCCCCTTTGTCAGGAGGGACATGGCAGCCCCCAGCACTCCCGTCCCTGCAGAGGATGGGGGAGCAGTGCCTGACATGAGGGTACTTGCGTGCAAGCACATGCAGCATTTGGGGCAAGCCCCACACCACGAGCTGTGTACAGACTTGAGGATGGCCAGGGAGACGTTCTGCTTCCACGGGCTGTCCTTGCGCATCCCGATCCCGAAGCCAGAGCGGAAAAAAAGCTCCCCCGTCGTCACCAGGTCACACTTCTGGGAGGCTTCAAACTCCAGCACGGCCGAGTCCCAGATGAAGGCGTGGAGCTTGCTGGACGGTGAGAGAGACAGACAGGTGAGGGGGGCAGCCCAGTTGTCTGCAGCCACTCTGGGAGCAGCGAGGGTGCTCCCAGCCCTAATTTAAGCACTGAAGCCACCCAGACTTGCACAGAAGGAAGAGCAGAGACCAGAAGGGCCAGGGCTCCCACTGTGCTGCTCCCCACATAGACCTTCTGCTCTCCACCCAGGGACCTGAAACGCACTAAGTCTGGGAAGATCCCACTCAGCACCAACTGGGAGGTCCCATCAAGACCCGCTGTGACTGCAGCTGCCTTGGCCCTGCTTGCTCCACCCAACTGCAGCTCCCTGAAATGCCTCCCAGCACGGCCAGACAAGGTGCTGGCCCACTCACTTGTCCCTCACTGCCTGGATGGCTTCGGCAGCGCTCTCGTAGTTGTGCTTCTCCATGTGCCGGTACATGGTGCTCAGCTCCACCTGCCGTCGGAAGTAGATGTCCACGGAGCTCTGCTTCACCGTGGCGTAGATGAACTTATCGGAGGGGTTGCGCAGCTGAAAGGCAAGGACAGACCCTGAGATCAGCTCAGCTGGGTAGGTCACGGTGCTGCTAACACCAAAGTTGTGGGTTTGATTCCCGTATGAGTCATTCACTGAAAAGGTGGACTCGATGATCCTTGTGGGTCCCTCCCAACTCAGAATATTCTGTGATTCTGTGACAGGGCTCCTATTTTTTCTGTCCTTCATCAGCAAAACTGACTCACCCCAAGGCCATGTCTCCTAATTTCCCACCTCCTTCAGAGACCTGTTTCCTAGAGAAGACCTTGATCTCCTCAGAGGATGCCGCAGGGCAGTGGATGCTCTGGGACCGTGGTGGGGGAGCAGGGGACAATGTGGGACAGGAACACTGTGGCGCTGAGGGTGCAGGAGGCTGTGGGTGCCATGGAGCTGTCAGTGCTGTGGGCAGATGATGCAGCAGGGTGTAGGACACTGTGGGTCAGTGCTGCTGCAGGGCACATTCCTGCGTGCTGGGGCTGATAAGCTGTGGCTGTGTCCTTGCCAGAGCAGGAAATGGATTTGAGGCATGTGGAGAGTATTGACTGCACCGCAGGGACAATTTCATTTGTTATAAGTCATCCATAATTAATTGTTTCCTCATTGGTTAGTGGAGGCTCTCCAGGAACTGGCAGGCAGTTTGACTGCATAGGGGCTATTCTGGACAAGCTTTTTCCTGCTGATCCCTCCCCATGTCTGTCCATTCCCACCCAGTGCAGGGGCTCAGACCCACCAGGATCAGCCCATGCAGAGCTTGGTTTTGCCCCCCTGGCACAGATCCCAGCCATGGTAAATCAGGGCTCTGGGAACTACAAGCCACGTTATATGCCCAGAAGTGGGTAGGGAAGGGGAAAGCAAGTGAAGGATATTACCCGGGGGTCATTGATGCCTGTGATTCTCTCCTCAGGTCGGTCTAACACCAGGAAGGCTGCCAGGTTGGCAGTGTATGAAGCCACAATGATCATAGCAAAGCCAGCCCACACCATGCCAAGAATACGGGCAGAAAAACTCCGGGGAGCACCTGGGGGGAGAGATGAGAGATCAGACTGGTATGACAAGAGTTTGGCTTGGCCATCAAAGACACATCAATCTGTGTGAGACCAACGGCAGCTGCAGACATGCACCATCTATCTGCTCTGCCAACAGCTGTGCAAGGAGCTCCTGCATTGCCCAAACCAAGAGAAACCCAGCTCCTTCCAGGGCATGCTGTGTCCCATCCTTAGTGGGTGGGTAACTCTGGCAGGATACACAGCAAAGACAGGCCTGTTTTCCCCACTGATGCTGGGGGTGGAAGGATGGCCCTCACAAGTGCCACAAGTGTGTCACACTCAGCATTACCAATCTTCTACCAGTCTGCGCCAGGGAATGATGTCCCCAAAGGGCATCAGCCTCATCAGTGAGAGGCTTCTCCTCCAGCCTTCTCAGCTCAGGGACAGGGTTGCAGGGCAGAGCAGTCCCACTGTGTGCTGTGACTCACCTTCTCCGATGCCAGAGTTCAGCAGGACCCCCCAGGAGAACCACATGGCTGAGGAGAGGGTCAGGGCATCTTCCTCCTCCTCCTCACTGTTTACTTTGAACCGGCCAAATGGGCTGGAAAACAAGAAAAAGAACTTCTCTCATTTCCCTTAGCCTGGTTTCTGGGGCTCTCCACTGTGCCCTCCTAAGTGTCCTGATGCAGGCCTGTATCACTCAATCCTACAGACTGTGCCTGTGTCCCAGGCAGCTTTCCTCATCATGTCCTACTGACTTGCACATCCCCAGTGCTGATAGGCAATTTGTACATCTCAGTCCGGTACCAGTCCCATCACACTTCTCTCCAGATCAGAAAGATGATCTGATCCTGACCAGCTTGAGCCTCTCCCACTGCAACGCGGAGGGTTCACTGCAGATCAGCCACCAAAGTGTCTGGGCACAGGGCTGAGGTGGGAACAGGTTCTCTGCCCTTCAGAGAAACTGTCATAGGGCCAAAGAAGGGCCAGAGGAAACTATCTCAGAGGAAACTCAGGCAGCCAGCAGGGACAGGAGCCTCAGCCCAGGGCTAGTGAGGCAGAGAAGGTGGGATTAGTTCCTGTGAGAGCCCCCCAAAGGGCTGCAGGACTGTGCCTGAACAAGACACTGCAGGGACCCAGGAGATGGTTCCCAGGAGCACCTCCCTGTCCCCTCCCGCTCTTGGGTGGCCTGAAGTGCACTCACCTGAATCGGTCTAAGAGGTACAACATCACTGCCACCACGTGCACGGACAGCCCCACCAGCAGCCAGAGGGTGCTCTGGAAGGGCTGCATGAACGAGTCCAAGGTGCTGCGGGGGATTTCCTGGCACACAGAGAGAGGTGAACAGTGCTGGCACCCACCACACCCACACCCTGCCCTGCTCTGATCTCCTCCTGCTCAGCTACACAGGAGGGGTCAGGGTGGCAGAGACAAGACCCAGCACTAAATCCAGTCTGGAGGTTGGGATTTGCAGGGGCAGCGCAGGGGGAACTGGGCATGGTGTGGGCATGGCACTTCTCTGCAGTGTGGGGAGCAGGGGACACCTCCCCTGTTCTACAGAACATCCCACCCCAGCTCATACCTTCTTCACAAGGATGGTGAGTCCCTGGTACTTGAAGGGCTTGGAGAACTCGATGTACTGAGCCCGCTCGTTGTTGATGGTGAGGGGAGCCACAATCATGTCTGCTTGGCCGCTCAGCAGCTCCCCCATCATCCCGTTCCACTCCTTCTTGTTGCTGTTGTTCACCTGCCAGAGAGCCCACACAGGATCAGACTCCTGCCCTGACACACTTTCCCCACTAGCCAGGATTCCCACATGTGCCAGGCATCCTGCACTGCCCTCCCACCCCACCCCTGCTCCAGAGAAGGGCCTGGGGGTATTTCAACACATGATAAAGGCAAAGAGACATCACAGGCTGCCCAAACTCACCCGCTCTTGGGTACCAAATTTACCATCAGCCACCAGGTGAACCTCATAGGTGAAGTTCATGACCCCTGCCAGCCGGATGAGCAGGTCGATGCAGAAGCCATAGCAGCACAGAGCCACTGTGGGACGGCCTGAGGAGAGGAGACAATGGGGGGAGGAGTGGAGGCAGCCCTTTGCCAGGAACCCCATGCAGGATCCATGCCTGTCCCGCTGAGAACAGCCACCTCATGGCTCTGGTTCCATATGGGGTGTAACCACCTTATCCATCAGGGCCACCTGTCTGATCACCCTCTCACTGCCTCCATCCCCTCTGGTGTTGGCAAGCTGGGGACAAAGGGGTCTCATTCCTTCTCTATGTCCCAGTGAGGTGGGCTGAGACTTGGTGCTACCCACCCACTGAGGGCACGGTGCATGAGCTGGACCCACCAGGCTGAACACAGCCCAGGACACAGCCCAGGGCTGGGGGAATGGTGTGCACAGGAAAGCATGACGGGCCAAGGGGATGCCCTTTAGGTGGATTTGGGCAAACCTGGCATTGTTGAGCAGCTCACCCTCCCCCCAGGTGCTCACTCCTCACCCTGACATGGGCTTTCCATAACAGTTTGAAACTGGTGTTGTTCATATCAGTGCAGGAAGAGCTAATGTGCCTTGAGAGTCTCACTTCTGCTGGAGATCAAGGTAAAGAGAATTAGAGCATGTCAGGAGACAGAACCTTGGGGTGCAACCCCCAAAACAGCCCTGGAGCCCATCCAGAAAAGAGGCAGTGGGAAAGTAATCTGTTGGGTTCAAAAACCTGAATCCCAGTGCCCAATTCCTGCACAGCACTACTGTGGGGCTGAGCTGATGGGGGTCATTTGGGGGCTGACTGTGCTGTCACCTTTCTGTTCCTCATCCTCTAGGCTTCCTGTGTGACTGAGGACCCTCCCTGAGACCTCTTCTTGGAGTGGCATTCTTCATCAGCCTGGTGGGTTGGGGGAGTCACCCCCACACAGAGTTACCTGGGATGGTCTCGTTGGGTCCAGTGCAGAAGACCTTTTTCACAGGATCTCCATTGATAGTGAATTCCTCCCTGCATGTCCCATCTGCTTGCGTGGGCTTCACGTACACAAAGGGCTCTTGGTGGATCGTCACGATCTGCGAGGCCAAGCACAAACACCCTCTTGTCTCTGTCCCCCTCCAGAGCTGCATTTCCCTGGTGAGGAGCTGGGCTGCCCTCTCCACACCAGCATGGCTAAAATGCCCGGGTGCCCTTCCCAGCTGCCATCTCAGCACACAAGACTGCTCAGCCCAGCAGTAAGACCTGGCTTTGGCACGGGGAATCACAGAATCATAGAATCATTTAGCTGGAAAAGACCTTTAAAATCATGAATTCCAGCTGTTAACCCAGCACTGTCAAGGCCACCTCTAAGAACATTTGCTTTCCCTGATCCCAAGATGAGGAACAGCTGTGTCAGCACCTTCCTTCACGTGGCACTTTCACACGAGCCTCAAAACCCCTCTCCCTAACAAGAGGCTGATGGGGGGTACCACACAGCCAGGATTAGTGCCCAGAAAGGTCCTCTAGACACTGTCATGCTGCCCCAAGCTAATGCAGATATTTCAGTCCTACCGCAGACCTTTTCAGTTGTGCAACATCCCAAAGCACCAACACCACCTCTGCAGGGACAAGGGCTCACTACCAGCAGGAGTGTGTCCCTTGCCCGGACAGCAGGACAAATGAATGGCCACAGTGGTAAGACCGGTCTGCCCAGGATCCAGTCACTAAAGTGACTGCTGGGTGTTACCTCAGGGAAGAGCATGAGAAGCAAAGCAAGACTGGAGAGACCTTCTTCCACTGTCACCTCCAGCTTCTGGAGTTTGATTCCGGCTGAGAGCTGTGCTCTGAACACCCTCCAGTACCTTCTATATTGTTCTGCTACATCCTCTCTGAGGTGCCCCAGGTTTGCAAATGCTGCTGAGAGCTGCAGAGGCAGCAGTGGAGGTGGAGGCAGATAAAGTCATGGCCTGGCATGCAGAGAGCTGAGGACACCTGCCACCCCCTAATGCCATTTGCTGTTACCTTCAACTTGGTCGACATCTGATAGCCTTGAGGTTTCTCAGTTTCCCCCCCGGGCCAGATAATCTTCCTGTCGTTGGTCAAGACCTGTGAGCGATACCAGAGGAAGCAGAGGGGCGTAAGGCCATAGGTAAACACCCCAGTGCACACAGTCCTTCTCCCCAGGCCAGGCCTGTACATACATTGCTGCCGTTGTAAATCCCAACTTGGACCAGTTTCCGGTTCTGCAGGTTCATGATGCTGTAGTTGGCAAACTTCCTGTCCCCGTCCTCGTTGAACTCCACACGGCCAGTGACACCCTCCGAGTACTTGGAGGACATCAACACCCTAGAGAGGGAAACACAGTGGGCACAACCTAGAAAACCTGCTGTGGCCACTGGGACCCCTAAGAAGGCATCAGAAAGGCAAATCTTTCTCTCAGTTACCTGCCATATGCACACTATCCTACAGAAATCCAGCCAAGGCTACCTATGGTCTGTTCATAGACCAGCAGTCATCCCTTCCTGGTGGATGGAGCCATTTTCCCAAAGTTCACTACCATATCTGCTGTCACTGTCCCTTGTTTTCCAGTAGATCATTCCCATTTCCTTAAGGAATGATGTGTCCCACAACACCCAAGGACACCTTCCTCTTGGCGTCCCTTGGGAGCTGCGTCCATGTCACAATTCCTGGTGCTTCTGATTGGCACCAGCTCATCACAGCCTACACAGAGCCCCAGGAATGCACCACCAAGAGGAGACCAGCCCCCAAACCCTGGAAAGATGATAATGAAGACACAGAACAGTTGCCTGAGCCACTTGTGGAGAACACCTTTGACTTGCTCATGCCAAAACCTGTGTTGCTGCAGAGGATGCCAGAAATATTTCTAAAACAAACTTCAGGCTTTGCAGGTTCCATGCTCAGCAGAACCCAGGTCTGCAGGGAATTGCTGCTGTACCACAGTCCAGCCTGCAGAAGAGGCCCTTGTGGCTCCAGCATCCACACTGATGTGCACAAAAACTGGGTTCTGGGAAGCACATGCAGCATCTGTCGATCCTTCTGCCCATGGCAGCAAGACCCAACACACACATGCTCTCATCTGCCTGTCCCATGCAGGGAGATCTCTTGCCACCAAGATTTGCTTGCAGCACACTGACCCATGCCACAGCCCTTGGAATGTTCAGCAGGAAATGTGTCCCCAACACCGAGCTTCAATTTGACAGAAACATCCCCCTACCCTGATTTGGCAGAAAACCCCCTCTCTCCCATTTCCACTCATGGAATTAAGATCCAGACTGGAGGACACCATGGCCCCCAGATCTTTTCTTCCTAGAGTCATTTCCTGCCCTTACATCCCAGTTGCCCAAGCATTGCCCAGGGCAGCATGGTTTGGCATGGAGCAACTTGGTGCCAGGCACCAGATGATGCCTAAACTGGGTGCCATTTCCTGAGCCTGTGTCTGGGATGGTTTTCTAGGAGAGTCTTCACATCCAAATCATGCAGGAGAGTCCAGTCAGCCCTGTGCCACATGCCCCAAAGCTTTAGTGACAGATACTCTGAGCAAAGCTGCCATGTCCTCCTGCACCTTTTCCACATACTCCCACCTTTTCCAGCTCTCCCCCAGCAGGTCCTCTGCTCCCTCCAGCAGGACCCTTTACCAAATACCTCTTGAAAAGGGGTCCTGTCTTCCAGATGTTGGTGTTGCCCACGCAGCCCCGTGGTGGGTCTGTGATGTTCTCCTTCTCAAACAAGTCGTGCACAGCCTGTGCCACCACGGCAACAGCGTCGCTGATGTGGGCGGACTCGTTCTTCCCATTGATGAGCTGCAAACCAATCACTCCTGCCCGAGAGGAGGGGAGGAGGGAGGTCAGCACTCCTGAGCTCGCTGGCTGCTCCAGCTTTGCTCCCATGAACAGGGTTTGGGGACAAGCAAGCACCTGGTTATGGGCTGGGGACCCTTGGATGCAGTGGGGAGTTGCCTGAGATTCAGGCAGGGGCAGCAGCGCAGGGTGGGCACCGTCCTGCCCGCCAGAGGGGTATGGGGACAGCTACATGGGCCACTGGCTGCCCGTGCTCCATCCCCAGCGCCCTGCCCAACCCTTCCCTCAGGAGACTGTCAGCTTGCAAAGCCCCAGTGATGTGGATTTGGGGTACAGCAGTGTGAACAAGGCTGCTGGACTGCTGACTCCCCATGCAGGCAGGGGGAATGGGAAGCGACATGTGGGACCCTCAACTTGCTTGGGACCACCACGGCACGGCGTTCCCCCAGCCCAGGGGGTCCCCGGGGGGCAGGGGCCCCTCATGCTGGCTCTGTGCAGGGTCTCCAAGCACTGATGGCAGCAGGGTGGGTGCCTCGGGGGTGCCTCAGGGGTGCCTACCATCAGGGGCGTAACGCAGGGCACTGCCCGAGATCTCCCGCTCCCCCACCAGCCACACATAGCCCGAGCCCGTCATGTTGAGCATGGCTGCTGCTCTGTACACCGTGGCTGCATCGTCCTCACTGCAACGAGAGGAGGCACAGAATCACAGAATGTGCTGAGCTGGAAGGGACCCACAAGGACCATCGTGTCCAACCCTCAGCCCTGCACAGGCCCAACCCCAGAGTCACACTCAGTGCCCCAGAGGATCATCCAAACCCTCCTGGAGATCTGACAGCCTTGGGGCTGTGCCCACTGCCCTGGGGAGCCTGGTCAGTGCCCAACCACCCTCTGGGGGAAGAACCTCGTCCAGAGATCCAACCTGACCCTGCCCTGACACAGCTCCAGACCATTCCCTGGGTGCTGTCCCTGGTCCCCCCAGAGCAGAGCTCAGTCCCTGCCCCTCCTCTGCCCCTCCCCAGGGATCTGGAACTGCCATGAGCTCTCCCCTCAGTCTCTTCTTCTCCAGCTGAACACCCCAAGTGCCCTCAGTGTCCTCCCCCGGCTTCAAATCAAGGCCCTTCCCCATCCTCGTTGCCTCCTTTGGACACTCTCTAAGAGCTTAATGAAGGGAAGGGCAATGTGGCTCCGGGTGCTGGATGGCTCCTTTTCTCCTGTGTCAGGTCCCAAGGCGGTGGCAGTGCCAGGGAAGATACAAGTCCAGGTAGCCCTTCTCTGACAACTGTTTCTCCTGGATAATAGCTCATTTCTTGAGCAATGGGAACCTTTCTCCCAGCTTCACCTGATCCCACAGGGACCAGCACTGCTGAGCATCTGCACATCTGGCCCAGTCCTTATGCTGCAGGCGTGGACAGTGAGACTCCCCTCCTACACAGCTGGACCGGGATACACCGTCACTGACTGCAGCTGGTTCTGCAGCTGCTGACACTGTGCAGGAGAGACATCCCAGCCTCGCTGGTGACTGCCAGCTCCCAGGCCAGCAGCATGTCCAGCACAGCACAGCACCCACCCTTGCCCTGGACATCCCTGTGTGGGGCTGTGCTGCTCTCAGCTGGGGGACAGGTAATTTTCTTCCCAGAGGCTGGTGTGGGGCTGTGTTTGGGTTTGTGCTGAGCCAGGTTGACCATACAGGGATGTTTTTGTTATTGCTGAGCGGGGCTCACACACGGGGCCAAGGCTTTTCTGCTTTCCTGCTGCCACACGGGCCAGGAAGTTGGGAGTGCCTGGGAGGCTGGGAGGAGGCACAACTGGGACAGGTGACCCCAGCTGATCCAAGGGATATTCCAGACCATATGATATCATGCTCAGTATATAAAGCAGGGGGGAAGAAGGAACACTGGGGGATATTTGGAGTGATGGTGTTTGTCTTCCCAAGTCACCATTTCATGGGATGGGGCCCTGCTCTCCTGGAGGTGCTGAACACCTGCTGCCCATGGGAAGGGGTGAACTAATTCCTTGTTTTTCTTTGCTTGTGTGAGCAGCTTTTGCTTTCCCCTTTCCCTATTAAACTGTCTTTGTCTCAACCCACGAGTTCTCCATCTTTTACCCTTCTGATTCTGTCCCTGATATCGTTGTTGGGGGAGTGGCTGTGAGGGGCTTGGCTGCTGGCAGGGGTTAAACCACAATGAGGTTTTCTCTCGTGTTCCTTGGAAGGATGACAAACCTCAAATCTGCTTTGACTTCAGTTCTGGGCAGTGTTGCAAAGGGGAGAGGAGAATAGCAGAGCAGGGAGGGGAAGGAATGGCACTGCCTTACCTGGCAGAGAGGATGATGACTCGAGCCTCCAGCTCCTTCGCCTCCAGCAGCAGCGATGTCACATTTTTGGTTCCAGGGTCAAACTGAAGCACTTTCTCAGCCTGTGATTAGTGTGAGCAAAGCTGGTTAGTGTGGGAGCCCCAGGACTGGTGGTGAGAGCCATGCTATCTAGAAAAGGTCAAGAGAATTCATTAAACTGCACAAAAGTCTGCTAAATAAGATTGGTTATAGTTATTTTTTTCTTTTTTCTTTCCTTTCTTTCTTTTCTTTCTTTCCTTCCTTCCTTTCTCTTTTAAGGTTTTGGCCTTTCAGTTGTTTTATTTTTTTTATTTTTATTTTTTTTGCACTGTGCATGCAAACTGAAGTCAATCAAGACCCAAAAAGAGGCGTGCATTGTACAGGAAAGAGAAAAAGGCTTTGAAATGCAATTGAAAACTCAAACGAGTGTTGTTTTTCAAAAACATGGGAAATGAGAAAAACATATTGCACAAGGTTAACCTTTGGGAGTCAAAGTGAGCAACTTACACCAAGGAACTGTTTCCTTTGGGGAGGAAAGGGGGTTGGTTCAACTTTCCAAAAAAAAAAAACTTGCAAGTTAATTACTGGTTCACATGCATGTTTCAAAAAGAAATCCTTCCAGGGTCAGCTGGCTAAGTTTCCATTCTCAAGTCCAAACCAAACTATCTCAACATAAAAACGTGCTACCAAGAAACATAGTCATGGATTTTTTTTTTTCTTTCTTTTATTTTCTTTTTTTTTCTCTTTCACTTTTTTTTTTTTTTTTTTTTTTTTTTTTTTTTTTTTTATTTTTTATTTTTTTATTTTTCTGGTGGCTGTGGCTACTTTTCATTTGCTAGTTAGGTTGGTGGGCGGCGTGCATTTCCATGCATATATACCTTGGGTCCTCGCTTGTTGTCATAGGAAAGTTGGTCGAGGTTTTCATAGTTCCTTTTTTTACTCTGATGAATAATGTGCACAGAGAAAATATGTAGACACAGAAGAATATTATAAACAGTTGAAAATGACGTGTAGTAAAGCAATCCAACATCCACCTCCTCCTCCACTGTTTGCTAAAGGGTCTCTATAACGCTGGAGCTCGCAAAAACCACTATCAGGAGAGAGAGTGCCTCAGCTCTCACGGGAGGTCACGGTGCAAGGCCATATCTCACAGAGCAAGCCTGAGTGCCACAGCTGGTGCGATGCTGCAGTTGCATTTCCCTTGTGGGACTGGGGAATTCTTCAGCAAGAAATTTTTTATCTTAAGCTCAGAAACAATCTATGCATCTCTAAGGGCCTAAGTGGTGGGGTTTCCATGGAATTACTGTGGAAGTAAAGGACAAAATGTTGTGTACGGAAAGTGCTGGATAAAGGCAAACTGTTACAGTTAAGAGTATTAGCAATACTAGAGTCACTATGAGCATTACAATCCTGTTCACCCTCAGAGAGTTCACAGCAAATGAGGTGCCTCAGCTGAACTTCTCACCTCCTGAAAGGAGGGAGCGGCCTTTTGGAGCTCTGTTGACATCCAAAAGAGAAAGATAACGTTCTCTACATCCCGTGTTGGCTCAAAGCGTGGCGATATGAAGCAATGGTGATCATGGGATGACATTGCAGCTTTTACCTGGTGCCTGGGGAGGGCCAAGGGCACCTCATGGCTCTGTGGCACAAGGGTGGCCCCGGGAGGTGCAGCTACCCAAGACCACAGTGCCCATAACCTGGCCCTACAGGTGGCTAGTGAGGCTCACTGCTTGGTGGTCTCCACGCTGCTGACCAGAGCAGCACTGGGGCTCAGGACAGGGGGCTCAGCATGCTCTGACCCTGGAGACGAGAGACCGGACAGAGAACCTGCTCCTCCCCTTGTCTCCTACCTGAGCCACTTCTGCTGCTTGGCCCCAAAGGAGCCCAAGGCATGAAACCTGCTTCTGGAGGTTTCCTCTTCTCCAGGCAGTGTGCTGAGGGCCAAGAGCCTCTGCTCTCAGGAGCCGTGACCCTGCAACAGCGTGCACAGAGCCCCGTGGATCTTCCTGCGAGCAGCCCACCTGGTCAGGCCAACAACAGCAATCTGACAATGCCTTCAGGAGATGGCTTGGTAGGTTTTGGTGGGACAGTGTCCGACCTCTTCTTCTTGACCCCACCCCACCCCTGCTGAGTATTCCTGATCTATGTATAGGGGGTATGGGACACAGCTCTATTCTGATCTTTGTTTTTCCAGAACCTTATGTCAATGGCAACTGATCCCTGACAGGAACCAGACCCTTTGCACCCCTGGAATGCAAAGGTTCATGTTCCCAGGTTGTTTCTTAGACAGCCAGGTTTTATCTCTGTGTCTCGCTTTCCAAACTAAGTAGCTTGCCTTTTCCTGAGCACTCGGGCCAATCTTTGGCAGGACATTTTGCAGGTCTGCTTTCTGTGCAGCCATGTGATCTTTGCTTTCTTCTCCTTGGACACAGCCTGGCAGGTTTTCGTTGCTCAAAGGAATTGAGTCCTTGCAAGGCAAAGTATCTGAGGAGGCAAAATCTGCTTGGAGCCCAGGTCTGCCTTCACTTCTGATGACATCCACAGCCAGGATTTCTGCAGTGGCTTCTTAGAGACTGCTGAGATTGCAGTGAGACCTGGGGTAACAACTGCCTTCAAGGAGAACAGAGGTGCAGGACAGCATGAATGTTCTCCAGTGATGGGACACTGGTCATTTCTCCTTAGGTACTGTCAATGTAGCCAATCCCTCTTGCAGCCTCCAGACATGAATAGCCTTGTGTGCCTGGGATATGCACCTCGATCCAGGCTGGTCAGCAGAGTCTTGGGTGCAGCAAAGCTGGCACCTGATCACCTCTCCCTGTCACTATCCCTACAGAACTAGACTAATAATGTGTCTTTTTTTCCCCCCATTTTTCCATGTGGTCCTGCAGCCCTTCCCTGCTCTTCAGCTCATGTTTCACACAGGGACCCACAAATTAAAATTTCCACCAGGTTCTCAAGCATTCATTAAAAAAGTTGCCACTGTCCTAGAGAAAGACACCCAGCACACCATGGACTGCCACCTCTGACTTGGACAAACTCTGATTTCACAGTGTCCAACACTCCCTCCTGATCCTGAGCAGCACTGGTGGCCTGCCCAGACGAACAAGCAGAGTTGTGCTGGGGTGGAGCAGCAGAGTTACTGCTGACAGACCTAAGACAAAGCGAGCACATGGGCTGTGCCAGAACTGGCCAGCATGGCCTGAGTGCTGGGCTTGGAGTGCCTGGTGGAAGTGCAAACCCACACAGTGGTGCCTGAGTGACACCCAGGGACAGTGCAGACTGTGGGGGACACAGCCATGCTCCAATCCAAGAGCTGGGCAGGGGAGTCTCTGAAGACAGGACCTCAGGGACTGTGACCCAAGCCTTGCAGAGGTCGAGATCAGGTCTCCTGCCTGCTCCCTCCCCAGGGCCAGGCTGCCCTTGAGGAGGCTGGGCAGGGGCCCAAGGTACCCCTTCATGGCATGAAGAGAGTCAGCACATCAATGATCAGAAAAGGAATTAGAAGAGGAGATTAAGGAAGATAGGAAAGCCCCAGCAGGCTATCTACCACCTTCAAGACCAGTCAGACCTGTCTGTTTGACTTTTTTGCAAGGAAAACAGAAACAAGATGCAGTGGCACGCCCCAAAAGGAAGATAAAGTGACCTACCCCCACAGAGCAGGTCTCAGGCTGGAGAGTGGCCAGGGCACCTGCAGCAGCCCAGTGGCTGCCAAGACATGTTATAGCTGCAGTGCAAATGTGGGGCAGGTCTGAGCACATCCCCTGCTCCCCATCTTTCAAGCTCCAGATCTAAAATCTTTCCCATGTGATGGATAGGGTGAAGAAGAAATGCACCCTGAGCCTGGGAGCATCACATGGAGCAAGCAAGGAGTGGAGTCATGAGAGGGAGCAGCAAAAGGGAACACAGAGGAACTGTACAAAAGCAGAAAGTGGAAATCAAAAGATACAAGGAAAGGAATGAGAGACTGACAATGGCTCTCCTTGGATGAGTGACACTGTGCTGGGAAGAGGCTTTGGAGTGAAATATATTCCACTGTCACCCAGCAGGAAACTGCCTTGGGAGGCAGGAGGATCCCACCATAGCTGGTGGCACGTCAGTGTCTCACGATGATCCAGGATGCAGCAAGGATGAGACTCCTCGGAAATCACCGCCAAAACCAAAAGCCTGTTGTTCAGTGTGGCTTGTGCCAGCCTGCAGCCCTGCACCAGTTGTTCATCAGGGAGGTGATGAAGAGCAGTGACAGGCTGCTCTCTCTGATCTCTGAGCTGAGCCACCAACTCCAAGCACAAGAAGTGTCTGTGGCCACATCTCCTCAACAGCTGCCTGACTGCCAAAGGTCCAGCAGCTGCTGGTGGGGCTGGAGAAGAGCAGATTGAGGTCCCTGCCTGTGACCCAGGAGGGAACAGCCCTGAATTGATTCCTGCCCTGATGCTGCTGGAGACTTGGATGGGCTCAGTGTTCTGCACACCCGAAGGGGACTCACCCTGCCCCAGGCAAGAGAACGTGCTGGGACTTCACTCTGTAGGGCACGAGGTGGTTCCTTGTCTTCCAGATTGCAGCCAAACAGCTCCTGTGTTCTCCTTCCCTGCTTGTCTGGAACGTTAGCTTGGTCCTTTCACTCCACGCCGCAGGTCTGTGGTTGTCCTCCTGAATCTCTAGCAGGCTTGGGGACCTCCCTCCCTGCTCCCTGCTGGCCCTGAGTGTAGGTGCAGTGCACCTCCTCCACAAAGCCACAACCGCCCTCTTGTACCAGCAATGGGTGTCAGGAAAGCAGCGTTTGGCATGTGCTTCGATGGAGATGGGAACGGGCGCAGCCTGCGGCCCACGGCTCTACACAGAGGGTGTTGTGGCCCTCGGGGCAGCAACACACCGGCTGCCTGGCCCTCCTAAGCCTCTAAGGTGAGCCCCGGGAAGCCAATTCAGAAGCTGCTTTTCAGGGTTGGTTTGGCACTGCTGGGTCTGCCTGGCCCCGGGGTGGCTGCAATGGGGCAGGTGCTTCCCTAAGCTGAGCGACTGGTCCTCTCCTTAGGTGGGAATCTTGGGCGAGGCATTTGCAGAGCTCCAGGTTATCCTTCCCTTCATTTTGTAGTCGATTTACATGTAGGAGATTTTGACCATGGCAAAGCAAGTGAAATGAATAAAGTACAAAGTTCTGTCAGGTACTAGTCAGACACTGTTGATGCTTTAAGCATGTTAGCCATGTTACAATGGAAAGAAAAGGTGTTTTACATACAGAAATCTACATACATACAACAGCCCGAGACTTCTAGTTTTGTTGTTGCTTAAACAAAGCTACAAGACAATGTTCAGGAACTGACCTTGGACTCTTTCTCCTCCAAGAGGGTCTCCAGCTTCTTTTGTGCAGCACGACCTTCGTGGTCGTCACTGACTATCAGAATGACGTGGTTCCAGTTGAAGACTCTCATCATCTCAAACCAGACGTTGGCCTGGTGAGAGTATGGAGGGACCGTGCGCAAAAAGGACAGGTGGATGCTCTGCAAGGAAGAACAAGAGCTCAACACAGACTGTGGGCTTGTCAGCCAGGTTTGCAGGGACAGGGCTGGGATCACAAAGCCATTTTGGGAAGACCTCTGGGTTGCACACCTTGAGCACACCTCTAGTGCTAACCTGCACTCCTTCCTTCTGCTTGGGAAGCAAATCCTGGCCGTGATTTTGTACCTCTCTGTGGTTAATCTAGAGCATGGCAGAGAGGGTTTTTTGCTTTGTGGTCCACAGTGAAGAAAAGCCTATCGAGCCATGAAGGGCCAGCAGTGTTCAGTGCAAATATAGCCTTGCCTCTTGGCTTTTCAAAATTGTTACTGCGCAACAGACATCACAAAGAACTTGAATTCCCTTTAGAGAGGAGCAAGAGGCAGGTACAGGCAGCTATATATTAGTTATTTGTCATGAGAGAAGTTCAGAAAAGCAGTTTTATAACATGGTCTCTGACTGTTTCTAGGTCAGCCTGTTCCACAGGAGGAGGCAGCTCTGGACTCATGTCCCAGTTGACCTCTCTGATTTGGTTAAAGACATTGTTATGGTTGGATGATTGTGCAATAGCAATTCCAGCCTAATTAAGTACAGTGCTGTTAGGGGAGCAACTGGACCAAAAGCTGTAGCTGACAGAGAGCTCTCAAACAAATGCAGTTTTTCCAAAAGGCCCTACAGTCAAATATTAGACAGTCAAAGTCCTCATGTTCAGCAGGGCCCTTACTTGGCAACCCAGCTAAATGCTGGAGTGGGGGGCAGAATTCTGAACCAGACAGGACAGAAAGGAAAGCACCATAATATTTCTTTCTATGAGGCTGAGACGGCTGTCTGGACCAAACAGGTCTTGTCCAGAACTGCTCACCCAGAGACCAGACCCAGTATGGGTCAGAAATGTCCTGAAGGGGCCAAAGTAAATCACACTTTGGGAAGGGAAAAGGAATCATGTCCCCCATGGACCCATACAAGAGGAACAGACACACCAAATAAAGCCTTTTTCTCACACCCAGCATGGTGATAATGTCAAACCAAACCATGAAATCTGTAGAAAATAGTGTCAAACCCCTGCTCCTGCCCTGGCCCAACACACAGGAATGATGGAGGCAGCAGCAAAACCACCAAGCCACTGAGGACAACTGTGGATGTTTAAACAAAGGAGAAAGCAAACCAGGAGAGCCACTACAAGCATCTCAGAGCTAATACAGACATCTCAGAGCTGATACAGACATTCACAGTTTTGGGAAGAGCAGTAGAAATGCAGCTCACCCCACAAGCCCAGCCCTAATCCATTGGATTGGGAAGAAGCTCCTAGAGACAAATGACGGAAGAACAACCACAGTCTCCACACCAACAGAGTGTTCAAGATCTGTTTGGAGTCAGCAGAGATGCCCAGGAGTTTTCAGGCCCTGCTCCACAGCTTGGACCAGGGATGCACAAGATGGATCTGAGCATTTCTAATTTCTAACCCCTGACCATTTTTAATTGCTTTAAGAAAATCCAGGGAAAATGAAAATGGGAAAAAAAAGATCAGAAAAGAGCTGGGAAAAAAACGCAGAAAAACTAATATTAAAAAAAAAATCAGTAAAACACAGGCTAAAAAAAATCAGAATTCTAACAAAATGCATTCAATCCATTTTTGAAATTAAAAAATCTCTGAGATTTCAGTATATTACATCAAATTATTTTCTAGTTTCCCATTAGCTTGTAAAAATGGTGTTTAAACTGATCATGGCTTCCTTAAGTATTGTAAATACATATCACTTGGTTCAGATGAACAATTTATTGCAAGGTTGTTGGGGGCAACTTGGTTTAACAGTTCAGGGAAATTTGCTTTCCGAGGTGGTGTCAAAAGGGCCATGGACTTGCCCTGATGGTATCTCAGCTCCTGGATTACAGAATTGTGGTTTTTAGATAGGAAAATGAAGAATAATTCATGGTAAGTTCTGTGAGGATGGGGAGGCCCTGGCACAGGTTGCCCAGAGAAGCTGTGGCTGCCCCATCCCTGGGAGTGTCCAAGGCCAGGTTGGATGCGGGTTGGAGCACCCTGGGCTGGTGGAGGTGCCCCCGCCCATGGCAGGGGTGTGGGATGAGATGGTCTTTAAGGTCCTACCCAACACAAACTATTCTAGGATTCTATGATGATTCTATGTGGGGTCCGGACTTAAGAACTGCAAATTATTAGTTGTCCTGACTTGGTTGATGTGAGTACATACAAAGAGGAGCTGTTGGTGTGTGTGAAAACTGGGGCTCTGTGTGTGCACAAATGTGAGCACATCCATGCAGAGAGCATGTGAGTGCAGGTACCCCTGCAGGGAAAGTGCTTGGGTGCTGAAATCCCTGTGCACAGTCTGCACATGGCCATGCTCTGCCTGGGGGAAGAGGCACGTGTGGGTGCCTGCTGATGGAGTTTGTATCTGTAGGGGATGTGCACAGGGCATGGCTGGAGGCCACCACGGGTGTGTACCCACATCAGGACCACGTACAGGTCCCTGAGTGAAAGGTTTGCTATCCTCTTACTTCTGCCTGCCTAAGGGCTCATCCCAGCTCATGGTCCATGGCCAAGGGAGTTATTTTTCCTACAGAAAATTAAAGAAAAATGAAAGCTTCAGAGGCTTGAGTAGGCAACGTGCTTTAGTTTCACTTCCTATGGAAATGTGTTCAGTCTCCCTTCTAGCAATTCACTCCCAAAATGAGCTGCCTGGGCAGTTTCAAAGAGATTGACAGAGATCTCAACCTATAAAGCTCAGGAAAATTTAGTAAAAATCCCCAGCTGGGTATGAAAAAGAAGCAGTGGCCAATGTCCCCATGGAAGGAGCCTGCCCACTGCCCCACGTGACAGCTGTGGACGTGGGAGGGAGCTGAGACAACTCTGAGACAGCTCAGACGTGTGCAGGGAGGGATTTCAGTGGGGACAGGGGTGTGGGCAGCTCACACTCAAATGCACTGCCTGCCTTTCCCTGCAGAGCACGGAGGAAGGGACGTGGCAGCCTCTGGGGAATGGCCACTGTGGAGTGGGGGGTGTCTGTCCTTCTCCCAGCTGGAATTCTGAGAGCCTATGAAGAGCTCTCCTCCACTGGGATGAGTGGGCTCCATCAGCCCAGCACTGCTCTAGCCTGGTCTGCTCTGGAACGTTCCAGGCTGCCTGACTGAGGGCTGTGCTGCCCTGCTGAGGGCTGAGCTACTCTACTGATGGCTGGGCTGCCCATTCCTGGGGCAAACAACTCTGTGTTACACTAAACAGCCTCTCCAGTCATTGCTTACAGGTGAAGGAGTTCTGATCCTGACCTTGGTCAAGGGGAATCGCTTTTTCCCCACTTCCAGTGCAGCTTCCCACTCTGATTAAGAAGGTTTCTGCTGAGCATTGTTGCCAGTGAGACCAGTAACAGAGAAAAGTACCCCTCTCAGTGAGCAGTGCCTCACTTCCAGGCATGGAGTGGTTACAGTGAGACCAGGAACCAGAGGTAAAAGCCATCCCCGGGCTGAAGAGAGAGAGAAAGAGACAGACCCCATTGCAACTACCAGGACCAGGTGCTGGAATTGAAGTAGCTCTCCAAGTGCACGATGACTAAACTCCATTTTCCATCTCTTTCACCACAGAGCAAGTCTCAGTTAAAACCCCTTGATCCTCCACTGCAATAGCTCTGGGATTAGGGTATGGTGTGGGGCTCAGCACCTCTGGGCACCCAGGATGTCCCTTCATCCCCACCACGTAGGTGGGGATCACGTTCCACATGGTGATGATGAACAGCACCAGCTCTTCCTGGCTCTTGAGCTGTGCATTTCCCCACAAGCTTTGCTCTGACACTCTCCATGTCATTTCACATTTCTCATATTGCCAAGATGTCCGTGCCATCTCATTTTTTCAGCTGGGATGCAAAGGAAGTATAAACACCCCCAATGACACATGGGAGCAGGAGCACTGAAGCACAGTCCAGCCTGTCCATGCAGGGGGCCCAGCAGGAGAAGGCCAGAGTGTGACTTTTGCAATGCTCAGTCCATGAGATCTCCATGGAGGGCTCTCCACAGTGATGGACACCACAGCCATGGGGACTGCTCTGATCACTTTACCATGAGAGCCCCCTTTCCTCCTCAAATTCCCTGCTCACCTCACTCAGAGGTGACTGGGATTCCAGAAACCCCTCAGTGTACAGGCAGGACTATGCTGGATGGAGTGAGGATCTTGGTGAAGGAACAGGCAATGATTTCATAAGATGTATGTACAAGGGGGCCAAAGGCTACCAAGCCAGAGCATTCAGATGCAATACCACTTCTAGAACAAATAGTTGGTTGGATACTGGGAGCAATAAAGCTCCCTTCCCTGGGGTATCTTTGTTGGTAGACTGGCTACAGCTCCTGGACCACTGTGCTCGACTGGAGATGCTCTGGGAGCATCAAAAGGTACTGGGCAAACCTGTCTGTGCTGAGGCCCACACCTCTCCTCCCTCTGGCAGCATAGCCTGCAGAGGACCATAATTAACTCCACTTCAACCCCCCGTGAAATTTAGCTAAAATTGCCTGATGCCTTCAAAACCAATCAGGGGCGTACATACAAAGTGATCTTACAAGCTTGTTTCCATAGAAACTAAGCTGAAAGATATAATTTACTGAATTTAAAAAGTAACCCAAAAACCAAGCTGATCACTGGAAACCAAAAAGGGAACAGCTGAATGTCCTGTGTCACGTGAGCCAGCCTGTCCTACATGGGGTGAGCAGAGCCTGTCCCACGGCTTCACACCCCTCTGTCCCCCATTTCACTCCCACCTTTGCTGTCCCTTCCACTGTTCAACATCCTTTGCTCCTCTCCCCAGTCCCTGCCTTTGCCCCATCTCCTGCCAGCATCTCCACCCTCTGCAGAGAGCTCCAAGCCCCCAGGCCCCCATCTGCCTGGATGGGCAGGTGCCAAGCAGGAGGCCAGACAGGCAGGACTGCTCAGAGGGGTGAGATGAGCCTGGTACAGGCAGGGTGGCCTCCCTGCTCAGTCTGTGCCAGGCAAGCGCAGCCCACAGCCCTGCACTGGCTGAATTCCCCAAAATACTCCATGGAGAGCATTTCCTGACAGTACAGTGGGTTGCTCCTCCAGCCCTGAAGTGAGTCAGGTGCATTTTATGAGCCAGATTTGCAGAAAACATTTGAAATAGGAAAAATCTGTCAGAAGCAGAGAGTACCAGGGCAGGTCCCAGCCCCTTGGGGTGGGCACGCCAATCCTGCCCCAGGTTGTGCTGTGGACAGGTGGTTTGCTTTGGTGAGCACAGCCCTGCAGAGATGGGGCAGGACCCACAGTGTGCAGGGTCCCCTCTCCCTGCCCTCCTGGCCCCTGTGACAAGGTCTCTCTCAGTGACATTTCCATCAGACGTATTTCCACTCCACAGCAGCACGAAGCAAATTCTCCCTGCACGATTGCTGCCTGCCCTCTCCCTTGCTCTGTCAGCTCTGTTGCCATCCCTTTCCCTCTAACCTGGTGGGACCCTGCCCATGCAGGTCCCCAGCCCAGCCAGCCACCATCACGGTCACTGCTGTGGTCTTGGCTTGGTGTCCATCCTATCATGGCTTTATTGGTGGGAGATGCCAAGAGCTGCTGCTCTCCAGCTGAGCAGTGCTGCTGGTGTATCTCTAGGAGCCTCTGCTCCTCCCTCCTGAAATTTGACTTCATTTAGCATGTAGGCGGAGTGACTATTTTTGCACAGAACATTTACATTTGTGAATATTCACATTTTCCAAGCAAAGGCCGATTCATGCTTTGAAACAGGCTTGATCTCACCCACTGAGCTCATGTGCCTACATGGAATCCTGCAATGGCATGTGGATGGCCTGGCTCTGCTCAGCTCCTCCCTTTGCTTTCACTAATCACAGATGGGCTGTGAGCTGAGGGCCAGGGCAGCACCTCGTTGCCCAGGGCCAGGCACTGCCCCCAGACCCTCATCCAGTCTGGAAGCGTCTGTGTGCCCACAGAGACAGGTGCAGTGGTTTGAGACATTGGAATTTGAACCTCTGTCTTGAGTGCTGGCCGGACTGAGTGTCATGTGAAGCCTCGGGATATTCTGTGATCTCCCTACCAATATCCCATAAACCCAGAGAAGTGAATGCAACCGAACAACCTTCAAGCCCCAGAGAGCTCCTGCCCGATGTACAGGCTCTAATAGGATCCTCCTGCCCCTCCGCAGGCCCACACACACCCGGGGAGCCCCCTGGACCCCTGGCTGTCGCTAGTGAGCAGGGCAGGAACCAGCTATGCCTGTGCTTGGCTGAAGAGCAGCAAGCCCAGCAGCCTGGCAGAGCCGCGCTGCAGAAATCATCCGGCACTATGTAGGTCAACACTGGCAGCTGTGAAAAAATAATGTACTGGGGAATGCAGGAGAGAGAGAGGGAGCTGCAGGCTGAGCTGGAGAGGGTGGATAGACAGACACAGAGTGTTGGCATCATTAACCCTCCTGACGGGCACTCTTGATTTACAGCACATGTATGAGGTACTAGACTAGAAACATGCATCAGTTACCTTATCAGAATATATAGACATGCGTGTTGTCAGACCAATGACAGGGATCCTGTAGAAGCCAGCTGTGTATGATACAGGTGTTGGTGTTAGGTGATCGTTGGGAGCAGGAGGGTGGCTAACTAATATTGCATAGACCTGCAGGACAGGATACACGACACAAACATTATTTCACAGGAGCACATCAGCTGTCCAGCATGATTTTTTTTTCCTTTTCTTTTCTGCAATGTTAAACAGCCCCATGTTAACACGATAACGGCATTGAGGTAACTGGAAACAGGGAAGCAAGGATTGTGCTGGGAGCTGTGCTGTGGCTGGAGGTGATGGGTCTGCTCAGGGTTATATCCTAATGGAAATGCCGTGCCTACCAGCTCTGCTCAGTAAACTAATAACTTCCATGGATTACAGATTAAAGGGAAACATCTCCCTTGCAGTCACACTGTGTAATGTGATTTCTTTAACCACACATTTAATACTCAGTTGTAATTCCCCTCTGAGGACTATTACAAACAAAGTGGTCAGCTGGGACTGCGGCGGGAGCGCAGAGCCACGGAGCGAATCAGCCATCTGGCCCTGGGCACAGAAATGAGAGTACTGGGGGGGCAGGAGCTGGGATCTGCCCTCAGCATGCCAGGGGGAGGGGATCTGGGTTATACCAAAACGGGGAAGGACGATCTCGGCAAAATCCTGCTGTTATAGCAGGGCTGGGACTTCGGTCTCCAGCAGGATCCTATTTTGTGTCAAACGGAAAGGAAGGAGATGGGTAATCTCTGGGGGATCTTTTGTTACACCAATGCCCTCTCACAGCACAAGGAATGTCCCCGGCCGGTGACAGGTCTCCAGCGAGGGTGAATCTGTGCAAGGATTTTGATGTCTGGGAGGAAATAACACTTCTTCTTCCCCCAGGCATCTGCCAGAGCCCCAGGTTGGGGGGACAGGTCGCCTGGACAGGAGAGGAGGATGAAGCGTGTCCTGAGGAAGGGGGCCCGGGGTCTAGGGGAAGAGGGATGATCCCGCCTGGCATTGGGTGGGAGCAAGTTGAGGGTGCAGAGCGAGCTGGGGCAGGGGCTGGAGATCTTACCGTGGGAGAAGGGAGGAATTGCTAGAGAAGGAGCTGGGGGGAGCCTGGGGAGGCAGGAGGAGGGGATGCCCAGCGCAGAGCTGCCCGGTGCCGCGCTGACTCAGGGTGGGTGAGGACCTGCACCCAGCAGAGCTGGGGCACGGCACTGGATAGCACCAGGCCCTGGGGGCAGGGGCTGGGGGCTGTGTGGGGGCCAGGGTTGTACTGTGCTGTGCCGCACAGCAGCTGCTCGACGGAGCCATTTTACATTGGCGCGGCTCCCAGCGCCCCTCCTCAGCCTCGCAGCCCCCCTGCTCGGGCACAGCGCCGGCGAGCGAGGACCGAGGGGCCGTGCCCTAAGCCCCTGGGGCTGGAAGAACCTCTGGGTGTTGGGACAGAGAGCCCACCCCCAGCACCCTGACCCCCAGCACCCACAGCCCCCCTGCGCCCCGGCTCAGCTGCCTCCCCATCCCGCCGCTCACGCAGGGATGTGCCAGCGCCAGCCCCGGGCTCCGTGCGGTTTGCCATGGGGACAAGGCTTAGAGGTGGCACGGACAAGGCATCCATCAGCTGGGAGCAGTAAATGGAGCCTCGGCTCAGTGAGGGACCCGCCTGAGCCTTCTCCGGCTGCCGCCGGACAGCGGGGATCGGGTACATCCCGTGCTGCTCCGCCGCCCGGCTCGGCCACCATCCCAGGCATGTCTCCAGCCATCCTCCGCCTCCACGCTGGGAAGCCGAGCTGCGAAGGTGTCAGCTATTCTCCACTACGCACCTCCGGCCCCTCCAGCTCCCTCCCCTCCTGGCTGCGTGTGCCTGGGGGCATTTCTGTGTGAGGCTCCATGGTGAGGGCATTCATACAATTTGGGGGTGTGTTCCCACCTGCACATGGGTCCATGTAGACCTTTTGCATGTGCATGGATGTGTTGGAGGAGGGGGTGGTTTGTACCTGCCTGTCTGCCCCCCCGATGGCCCCAAGTGGCAGTACTAGGGCTGGTAACTGGGCTCAGCACCCAGAGCTCATGCAGGGGAGGTGGAGAGGCCAGGCCACGGCTGCCCGGGGCACCCTGGGCACCCAGCACCGCTGAGGATTGGGACTGCTCCCTTGGGTCTGCTGAGAGCAAGCCATGTGGACAGGAGAGAGGATCATGCTGTGCTTATGTGCACAGTCACACACAGCACTCACCATGTCTGTAATCCCTGTGTCCTGGGGGGGTGGCAGTGGGTGTGCTGGTGTGCACCACTGGGTGGTGTGGGGGGCCGTGGTGCTGTGTGCCATGGGGGGTGCAGCAGTGTATGACCTGGGGGAGTGGGGGGGAGGTGTGTACATGAATCACTGTGGGTCTGTGTGCCTGTGTGTCTGTGTGTATGTCTGTGTGTGTCTGTGTGTGTGTCTGTGTGTCTGTGTGTGTGTCTGTGTGTCTGTGCAGGGCACACATTGGGGTTTCATGTGTGCATGTGGCTCAGTGTGTGTGCCTGTGTGTCTGTGTGTATGTTTGTGTGTCTGTGTGTGTGTCTGTGTGTCTGTGTAGGGCACACATTGGGGTGTCATGTGTGCATGTGGCTCAGTGTGTGCTCCTGTGTGCACATGGAGGTGTGGATATGTGTGGCACAGCACGTTTGCACACTGGTGTGAGTGCAGACATGCATGGTCTGTGTGTGCCTGTGTTTGCACAGCAATGCACGTGTGCTCATGGCATGTGTGTGTGCAGCCCGTGGGCATTCCCAGTGTGTGCACGGTGAGTGTGCATGGATGGTGTTCCCCATGCCCACACCTCCCCACAGTGTGTGGATGTCCATACATGCTCACAGCCCTCTGTGTGCCTGTGTGTGCCCATGGTGTGTCTGTGTGTGGTGTATGTGCACACGTGGTGTTGAGTGGACATGTATGTGCACCCACTCTGTGCGTGCCCAGGGTGTGTGTGTGATCCCTTGTGTGTCCTGAGGGGTGTGTGTGAGAGAGAGAGAGAAAGACTGTGTGTGCCCCAGGGGTGTGTGGATGCCCATGTGCACCCTGGGGTGCGTGTGTGAGCCCATGTATGCTCTGAGGTGTTGTATGGGAGCCTATGTGAGCCCTGGGGGGTGTGTGCGTGGCCATCTGTACCTGGAGGGGGTGTGGGTGCCTCTGTGTGCTCCGGGATGTATGTGGGTGTCTGTGTACAGCCGATCGGGGGTGCAGGGGACTGTGTGTGCCCCAGAGTGTACCTGGGTGCCCATGTGTGCCCTGGGGAACATGTGGGTGCCTGTGTGTGCCCCAGGGTGTATGTGGGTGCCCGTGTGTACCCCGTCGGGTGTGCGGGTGCCCGTGCGTACCCGGGGTGTGTGCGGGTGGCCGTGTGTGCCCCGGGGTGTGTGCGGGTGCCGCGTGTGTGCCCCGCGGTGTGTGCGGGTGCGCCCCGTGAGTGGTCCGGGGTGCTAGAACGCGACAGTCGGGCACTCTTACATAAAGGATGCCCAATGCGGGCCAGCGCGAGCCCGGGCCCCCGGAGCAGACCCCGCACGGCGCGCTTCCGCCGGGGGCTCCGGGGCTCCGGGGAGGACTCCGGGGCGGCGCCGGGCCGGGGCGGCCGCGGGCAGGCCGGGCGGCGGGGGCCGTCGCCGTCCTGGGGTACTGGCTGGAATGAGTCCTCCGGCAGACGGACAGGGCCATCTTGGATGGGGCGTTGGGACTTGTGGGTGACAGAGGTGGCGTTGAGCTGGAGCTTCCAGGGCCGTGCCGCTTGTTGTCCTGGTTCACAGCCCGCGCGGAAGCTCTGCTCGCTGCTTCTTGGTGCGCTCAGGCACCCTGCGCAGATGTTGACGACTTGGGGTCGGCAGCCTCGGCGCGGGCGAAAGGAGGAGGAGAAGAGGAGGGCCGAGCAGCAGCAGCCGCGATGGTGCTCATCCACGGGCGCCCGGAAGCCCGCCGACCCCCGCGCCCGCCCAGCCGCCGGCCGCCGCGGCGCCGCCCGGCTCACGCGGGCGCCCCATCCGCGCCCGGCGCGGCCCGGCCCGCTTCCGGGCGCGGGGCGCGGGGTGCGGGAGAGCGGTGCCGGGCGCTCTCCCCTGTGCTGAACCGAGCCGCGCCCGCCCCGCTCCGCCCCGCTGCTGCGCAGCGCCCGCCCTCGCCGCCCCCGGACGCCGCCCGCCCGGGCAGCCTGCGGCAGAGCCGCCCACGCGCAAGCGGCTGTGCGGGTCTGTGGGCACCCCTCGCAGAGAACGGTCCCGCCTGCCCCCCGCGTGCCCGGAGGGCGCTGCGGGTCGGTGGGTCCTGGCACCTCCGCGGCTGTCGCTGGTAGCGCGGGTGCAGAGCTCGTCCGAGGCTGACCCTGCGGCTGCGGTGGGGGCAGCTCTGGGGGTCCCGCTCTCTCCTTTTCACCACAATGCCCATTTGGGGTCGGAGAGTGCCGTGGGAGACGTTGGAGGTGTGGACGCACTGGCCATTGAGCAAACCAGGGGCTTCTCCAGGCATAACCACACAAGACTGGGTGTGAAAGGGGGTCTGCAGTTTTGTTCTCCATACCAGTATTACCAGTTATGCAGCACCTCTGAACAACACGGTCCCCCAGTGCTGACTGGGGACAGTTGTGTGTGACGTGGACACCATCATGGTCTGTGGACAGTGCTGGACAACCCTCCCTTGACCAACACAACTCCAGGGCAGAGATGTTCAGCAGATGCTCAGCTTGGTTCCTTGGCTTCACTCTGTCACTCCAGACAGAGCCACCACTCTTCCAGACATTAGCTCACAGGGCAACCAGCCATTTCCCTCCATTAAATTCCACATTACTCTGGGATATGACCTTAAGATTTCTCTGCTGAGGAGATTTCTTGGGGTTCTCATCATCTACCTGCTGTTGGGCTACCATTAGTCTCCCTTAAGGAAATGGAGGCACAGTAGCCAGGGGCCAACATCCGGAGGACAGTCCAGCTCCGTGGCTGAAGGGGTTGGAGTTTCACTCCTGGGCCACATCTGTCCCGTTCCAGGTCCAGAGGGATGAGGTGGTCAGAGCAGCACATTGCTCCCCAGAGCTGCTGCTTTGGCCTTTTTGGAAAACAGCAAAGAGGTTTCAGGTGGTGACAGAGTGTTGCTTTGTCATTGCATGGGACAAACGCCACAGGCAGCCCAGGCAGGGAACAAGCTGAGCGCTGCAGAACCAAAGCCACCAGGGATATTTTTACCCCACCAGTTCTGGGATACTGCTGCAGCCCACCTCTGTGCTCACTCACAACGTGAGTTGAAGCAGAATATTTTTTCCCCCAACGCAAATTTTCTCACTGGCATCTCTGAAGTGTGAGTTGTCATGGAAACCATTTTGCCTGTGTCCCACGTTGCCCACATGCACTTGGAAGAAGCTGCAGAAGCAAAATGGCTGTTGTGTAACACCACAGGGGCTCAGCAGACGAGGGGCTTGTGGGCTGCACAGCCCCTTTACAGCCGTGAGACCCTCTCAGGAAGCTGTGGCCCATTGCTTGGGAAAGCAGTGAAACCCAGGGAGGTTATGATGTGCTCCACGAGAGAAGGAAAATGGCCCCATCTCACCTTAACTCTTGCAGTGCTTGGCGTGGAGCTCCACACCGACCCTGCTGTGCTGTTGGCACAAACTTCCAGGCATGCTTAACCCTTTTCAGTGTCATTGTGGCATTCCCACTCCTCCACACACGGAGCTGAGGGCCTTGCTGGACTCACGTGGTGTGGGTTTGTCCACCCCAAAGGGGCTCGAATGCTGTCTTGAAGGGACAAAGGGTGCAAGTCAGAGTTGCATCTGTACCTTTAGTCTGCACAGGTTTGACTTCATTCCATGTTGCCTACCAGGTGCACCTGCAGTAGGTTGTCTGGTAAGAAACTGTTCTGGAGTGGGCTATACAGACCTGGATCCTGGTGGGTGTGATGGCAATAGAATAATAAAGCCAAGACCTGGCCACAGCAGGGCACATAGCAGAGAAGACAAAGGAAAAAGGCAGACTTTGAAATGTTATTTGGAGTACAAAAGCTCTTTCCTCCTGGAAACCTGGAGTTCCCTGCAGCGAGAAGAAGGAGTGCAGCAATTGAGCTCCTCCTGTGTTGCCCAGGAGTCTGGGATGACCATGCTCAGGAGGCAGCCTCTTCCCTCTGTGCCTCCACTCATTTTTTGTCTCCAGAGGCTCTTGTTCCTGGCACAGTTGCAGAGATCTGAAAAATGCCTGCTTCCCTTTCAGGTCATGCCTCCCACCATCCTTGTTGTCCTGGCACCAGGAACAGCCCGGATCACAATTCCCAGCAGCCAGGCTCAGCCAGCACAGATGTTGTCACCGCATGGATCCCCCTCTCGCTGTGTCCTCGGGCTCTTTGATCCTCTGAAGGCAATGGGTGCATGCAGGGCTTTCCCAGGGTGGGAGCCGTGTACATGGTGAGTACAACCACATCCACCAGCTGATCCTTGAGAAGACTCTGCAGTGAGGAATGGTCTCTGCTTTGCCTTTCGCTGCCTCCTGGCTTATCATGGCAACATTCTCAACCACGGTTTGGCTCAGGAACTGACCACTGTTGCCTGTTTGCAATTAGTATGTGTAAAATGTCATCCTGCTCTTCACGTCTGGCACCGCACGGGGCAGGTGTTGGTGCGGTGCCCCCGTGCCGGTCAATGCTGTAATTCCTCCTACGGCCAGAGCAAGTCAGTGTAAAACCTGGAGACTTCAGGGGAGCAGCATTGAACCGGCTGGAAATTTCATCTGCCTCGAGGTGAGGCATCAGTCTCGGTGGTGGGAAAGATAATAGGGAATTTCATAAAGGAGGAAATTGGGTATTAGGAATATGCAACTTGTGCCACTGATCACCGAGCTGCCAAACAAACTGAATTCTTCCTTTGAGAAAGCTGATATTGATTTGATAGCAGTAACTGCACAGCTATAACACGGGCTGGGGAAATGCTTGCAAGTTAATCTGAGGTATAAAAATGAGTAAAGCACATGCTCAGTGGCCATTGCTTGTCTCCAGACCTGGTAGTGAAGAACTGCTGTGGGATGTGGTTATTCCTACAGGGATAAAAGGATTTGCAATGTGGTTGATGCTTCAGCATTCCTGTCATTGCTCTGGAAACAATGACTGATGACAAAATCTGTGAGACAGCAAATAATGGTGCGAAATCACTTGGATTGTTTAATAAGTAGTATTTTAGGACAGTCAGTGTAGAGTCATGAAAGTAGAAGCAAGTATTGTTGGTCCTGCCCTTTGGACAGGACTGCAGATGCAGTGGAGATATTGACTGTAAAGGTGGTCTCTAATTTTCACCCGCGGGTCAGAGATCATGAATTTCCAAACAAAATGTGGCAATGTTGTCCTTGGATTCACCCTGAGGAGTCAGAGCAGCAGCTGGCAGCAGCTCTTCTACAGGAAGCACTGGGGAACCCTGCACAGGAAAGTTGCCCACGTCTGGGAGTCACATTTTTATAAAGAAGCTGAAAAGATGGAGAAAAGATCCTTGAGAATATTTGGAGAAAAACTCCTCATGAGCTGGCACAGCAGAGGTGAGAGTGGATGCAGTCAGAGTGTGCTGCCTTCTAGGAGCAGTGACACAACTGCACAGATGCTTTCCCCAGGGCCTGTGAGCACTGCAGAGGCTGTTTCCAGCTGGCTCCAGCACAGATGGGGTCAGCAGGGCAATGAATTTGGAAGAAGGTAACCCTCCTCTCCTCCCCCATCTCCATGCCTTGGCTGAAGCCTCCTGCCTCCTGCCCAGTTTCATCACACCTCCTGTTCCTACTGCTCGGGTATCGGACACTGCCCGGGGCAGTCCCATGCCCTGGGAACCCTGCAGGGAGAGGGAACCTGCCCCTGGGGGTCCCTGCCGTGCACAACGCAAGGAGGGACAGGGATAGAGAACAGAACTAAATTCCAGCCTGAGGTTGAGGTGGGCAGGGACAGTGGACAAGGAAGGGAGTGCAGGGCCCCCCACAGCTCCTCACCACCCCCAGGAGGCTGGTAGGGTGTGTCCCCCACTGCGATTCCTTGGGGGATGGGATTTGTGTGAGCAGCTGGGGCGCAGCAGGATGAGCTGGGATGCAGCAGGACGTCCTTGTCACAGTATCAGCCAGCCAGACTGACAGGCAGTGACCGGAGACTGCAGAGGAAGGTGCCCAAAGGCATTATTTCTGTGGCAGGGGAGCTGCAGAGACCAATGGAATGGAGACCAAGGTCAGAGTGTCTGAGCAGCCCTTTGGCCTGAGCTGTTGCAGTTGTACATCCTAGCCCTGTTCCTGGCTCTTTTCCAGATGAAATTCAGGATGGACTGCAGTCCCTAAAGAGGCCTTGTGCTCTCTCTAAATGCTTTATCAGCTGAGGGGGCCTTGGCCCAGCCTACTTTGCAATTCAGATGTGGCTGATGAAGTCACCAGGCAGCACAGCTCCCTGCTCCAGTACAGGGGCAGCACAGACCTGCCCTGCTATGGACATCCATGTTGTCTTTACCCAGTCATCCCTACAGGAATCAGCTCTAGGCCTCCAAGGCCTGAGCAGAGTGTGTGTCACATTTGGAATCCCTGCTATCACAGAAAGAAGCTGCAGCAGCATCCTACACCAGATAAAGAGAATTGAGGTATCTCCCCCTCCACCGTCAGGTTACTGCAGGTTACTGTGCACAGGAGCATTCCCACCATCCACCAGAGCTCTGTCTTTGTCCAAGGAGCTGGACATGCACAGGGTTGGGGGGAGTTAAAACAAGATACAAACTGTTAGTCTGGCTTCTGATACCCAGATGTTCCTGAGCAGGCAAGGAGATATTTGGGTGAGAGGATGGGACATGGAACATCAATGGCCAGAGGCAAAGACAGTGAGAAACCCAAACCCAGCTTCTGTCCAATCAGAGGGAATGGAATATGCAGGAACATGCAGTCAGATGTGCAGTAGGAGGGCTGGGAATTTCAACTGCAATCATTTCCTAAGGGAAAACAAGCATTTGCGTGTTTGAAATGCACTGTAGGCAAAATTTCATTTTGAAAAAGTTCCAGCTTTCTGCTGGAGAAACAGCCAAGAGGTGTCTAGGCTTCAGCTGCCTGCACATTGTGTCCCAGGAGAGGGGACAACTCGTCCTCAGGGACTTCCAGTCCCCTGGGACTGCTGCATAGCAGGGGCTGGAAAGCAGATCAGGGAGACTGGTCTCTGGGGGTTTCCTGCACATCTTCACCTCCGAGGGTGTTGGAGCCTGGGGCCAACTGATGCAGTCCCTGGAGATGGAGCACATGGAGAACATCAGCCCCCCTGCAGCCCTTGGTGCTCTTCACCACGC